TTTTATGTGCCATTTTGCAAAAATCTAAACCATATAAAATGAATTAGAGCTCAGCAAAACGGGAAAGATAGGATGATGGAAAAGTACAAGATGAATCCACGTTGTGCATGAATAGTGCAATTTTCAGTAACTTCTAATAATACATACATACATTGAATACCACGTGTCGCAGAATAAAGAAAAACGGTGGCTTTAGCGCGCCTGCGTTAGCTTCACGGTGAAGCCCTCGAAGCAGAGTTGAACGTTGAACGGGTGCCTCCACAATCTGAAACAAACTCCATTTCCTGGTCGCTGCTTCTTTCTACTACTGTTGCTGCTTTACCATCCATCCCCCCCCTTTCTCTCTCTCTCTCTCGCTTGCTCTTGAAGCAATGCCGTTAAAGCCACCTCCCTCTCCGCCCATTTTAACACTGACAAAAATACACTCCCCTCCCTTGCTCGGCTCATATCTCTCCTTGCCTCCGCACTTTCTCTTCCCTCCTTTCATTTCTATATTTTCATCACTCATTCCTTCCTACCTTTCTCATCCGCATTTTGCTTTTATAATTTCAGGTGCGCTCTCAATGTTAAGATCATGTGAACTTAATCATGCAAAATTTCTGAACATTCAGAAGCATTTTTATCCTGCATTCTTCCAGTTTGGCTCTTTGTAATGTTCAGCACAGCGAAGGCTAAACAAAACTGAATCTTTTTTTGGCTTCCTTGCGTTGGCTTCTTTAAGTCCTAATAATTTGTTTTTCCATCTCAATTTTGAACACGAAGAGCTTTTCTCTTGATTTCACAAATTCCGTTGCATGTGTTCGGGGAAGGAGCGGAATTGCTGAGAGAGGATAATCAGTCTCCTGTACCTCGATATTACCTCTGAATAAGCAAACTCCATGATGCTACAATCCTCCTTAGTCAGGATACCTACTTTTCTCCTCCTGATTTTCTCTTTGCATGCTTCGGCTGATCTTGATTCAGAAAAGCAAGCCCTCCTTGACTTTGCTGCTGCAGTTCATCACGGCCAAAAAATTAATTGGGATTCTAATACCTCAATCTGCACTTCCTGGGTGGGAATCACTTGCAGCCCAAATGGCTCCCATGTGCTTGCTCTGCGGCTTCCCGGTGTTGGACTGCGTGGTTCTCTCCCTGCCAATACGATTAGTAAGCTAGATGGTCTCATGATTCTCAGTCTTCGCTCCAACAGCCTGAGTGGAAATCTTCCCAACGACATACTTTCCCATCGTTCCCTCCGCTTTATATATCTTCAATACAACTACTTTTCAGGTGACATCCCTCGCTTTCTGTCTTGCCAGATTGACTTTCTTGACCTGTCCTACAACTCCTTCACAGGAAAAATTCCAGCCTTAATTCAGAACTTGCCATATCTAACCGGGCTAAAACTCCAGAATAACTCTCTCAGAGGACCAATCCCGGATTTAAACCTCCCAAAGCTCAAGACTTTGAATTTGAGCTACAACAACTTAAATGGTTTAATTCCTTCAGCCCTCCAGAAATTTCCTGCGTCTTCATTTCGAGGGAATCTGAAGTTATGCGGACCACCTGTACACCAGTGTTCTTCACTTTCCCCATCTTTCGCAATGTCCCCACCAACGGTCTCATCAAAACCAAGTGATCTCTCCAACAGGAAGCTGAACACAGGTGCTACAGTTGCAATTGTCTTCATTGGTTTTACACTGCTGTTTCTTCCACTTTTGATGATCGTGTTTTGCTGTCTCAAGAAAAGAGATGGTGGACAAAATGTAAAACTTAAAGAGAAGGATGAGAAGCATAAGGAGGACTTTGGGAGTGGAGTGCAAGAACCAGAGAAAAACAAGCTAACATCTTTTGAAGGTTGTTCTTATAGTTTTGATCTTGAGGACCTATTAAGAGCTTCTGCTGAAGTACTTGGGAAGGGAAACTACGGGACGACTTATAAAGCCATCTTGGAGGAGGGTACAGCAGTGGTTGTGAAGAGGTTAAAAGAAGTAGTGGTAGGGAAAAAGAATTTGAACAACAAATGGAGACTGTTCGAAGGCTAGGTCATCACCGAAATGTTATTCCTGTTCTCGCTTACTACTACTCCAAGGACGAAAAACTCCTGGTTTATGATTACCTAGCAGTTGGAAGCCTTTCCAGGCTATTGCATGGTAAGTGTTAGTCATCTTATGCCCATTTCTCCGTGAGGATGAAGGCTGGGAAAAATGGCTTTATTTTCTTATCACAGACGTCTAGGTAAAAATGTTTATTACTGTAAGAAAAATCTGTAGATATGTTTTAAAAAAACTATATAAGCAAGTCAATCATAAAGAGGTGTAAATATTTCAACAATTTCTAATTAAACCTACCTTTGGCATGCTTGTTATCTACTATCTCTCACGAATGACTTGATTTCCTTATCTCTTAACGCCACTCACAAAAAACCTCTCCAAAATAAAAGTTTTCCCCCCTCATGTCATAAGGGTGTTAATAATGACCTGAGGATTCCTGATTTCCTGTTTTCATGATCTATTGTTAAAATCATTTGATCATACTACTGACGATTGTTTTACTTATCTATTCAGTAGCTTTTATATTCTTTCGAACTGAACCAGTAACTTCAGTACCTGATTCCTACTAACACAGGGCTGTTGTATTTTAAAGTTGAATTGTCCACATCTAGCTTCGTGTTGGTTTAGCGAATAGCAGTTCAAGAACATATAGATGCATAAAATCCTGTTCTTTCTCTGTAGTTTCTTATGTTCGGTTTGAGAAGGCAAAGAACACAAATCGCCTCAGCTCATAGCATCTTACAAGAAAATAAATAAATAAATTTGATCTATGCACTTTACTCCAAATCCCATTTAAACGAGGATTTCAATGCTGGCTGTCACATTTTCTGAACAGGAACCAAGGGAGCTGGAAGGACTCCATTAGATTGGGAATCCAGACTGAAGATCTCACTTGGAGCTGCTAGGGGTATTGCACATATCCACTCAGATAGCGGACGGAAACTTGTCCATGGCAACATAAAATCATCTAATGTGCTCGTCAAAGTAGATGTTGAAGGCTGCATATCAGATTTTGGCTTAACTCCTTTAATCAGTTCCTCTGTCCCATCTAGAAGTCCAGGGTACCAAGCACCTGAGGCTATTGAAACCCGAAAATCCTCCCAAAAGTCTGATGTATATAGCTTTGGCGTTGTCCTCCTTGAGATGCTGACAGGCAAAATACCGGTTCAGTATTCAGGACATGATGATGCGGTAGATCTTCCAAAGTGGGTTCAGTCTGTTGTTAGGGAGGAATGGACTGCCGAAGTATTTGATGTGGAGCTGATGAGGTATCCAAATATTGAAGAAGAACTGGTGCAGATGCTGCAGTTAGCAATGTCATGTGTGGCAAGGGAGCCTGACATGAGACCTTCAATGGAGGAAGTCGTTAAAATAATTGAAGAGATCGGAGCATCCAATCCCGAGTGCACGAATGTATGAATTGAAGCCATGTGTGATAAATTAAGATCCTACACCATGTAAAGTCGGGGAGAGAGAGACGGCTTCTTTCCAACTTCATTTAGTGCATATGCATATTTTTTTATATCAAAAGTAGGATATTACAGGTGAATCTGCGGTCTCTAGTGTGCTGTCTCTTAACAAAATATTGCAAGGGTTAACAAGTATAAGAATATGCAAGCACGAGCTTATATTCTGTCCCTGATCCTCCGTTCCCATGAAGAAAAATTGGGAGGAAAGAAAATAGGAAGAAGAAAAAAATTGGAAATAAAAAATCGGTGGTTCTCATCCCCATTGTCCTCCTATTTTTCCCATTTCTTCTTCATCATCCAAACAGGGAAAAGAGGTCTTCTTCATATTTTTTTTAATCGGTTTTCTTTCATATTTTTTTTTCCCATTCAAACAAAACATAATAGTGCATATATAATTATGTATGTAAGAATGATATTCATTGCAATATCTCAAAATCAAGCCTATAACTTGCACCGAATCAATCAGGTTTCCAAGTCGCTGCTCCGATCCCCAAATTTGAGCCCAAAAGAGTTTTTGTTTTTTTGCCAGGAATTCCCGTACTTCCCGCCACTTCCATTGATCACGTTGAATTCTCACGTCATATCAATTATCTTAATTGCAAACCAACGACATAAATGACAACAAAAATGTATCAATGCAATAGACATTCTTCTAAAATATGACTAATATCATACATATCAAATGAAGTATGATTTATGCATACCTATACCTAATAAAAATTGGGAAAGGAAGACGAGCAAGCAAAGGGGCAACACACACACACACATATAATAAAGATATTTCATATTGAATAAATATTTTATTTTTGTTATTTAAAATCATAAAATAGTTGTTGGCAGTTAAATTATAAAATATTTGTTAATTTTTTTTTAATAATATATATACTTCTTATCTTTACTTTCATACTTCTGTTTTATTTTTATTTTTATTTTTATTTTTTGCTTTCTTATTATTTGAAATAATTAGTATATAATTAAATATATTTACATTTTGAGTATGACCCAACCAATTAAATCATGTGCATAATAGTCTGATCAATTTTCATAATATCGACAAGTACTTCTTTCTTTCGATCTTATTTATGAGTTTGATTCACTCATTCTTAATACTATCTCCAATTCTAATTATAAATATCATTTATAAATTACAAACAACGTTTTATAATTAGAATCAGAGGTAGTATAAGAATTCATACAAAATTTAATAAAATATTCATGACTTTTAATTAAAAAAAGTCATCATCTCTTTCATTCTCACCTTAGAGGGCCTTTCCGACCCCACCCCACAGCACCAACCCCTCCCCCCCTAAAATAATTTTAGGAAGTTATGAACTCAACTCCCTTAACTAGCTTTCATTCCTTAACTACAATATTAAGTGTAGGAGTTAATATTACATTTCGTCCCTACCGTTACCTCAGGGTTACCACCGTAAAGCCTTTCCACATATTTGTAACCGAATATTGCTAATTCTTTTTTAATCGTGGGGCTAAAACCGAATATTGCTAATTGCATTCTCAAAAAGATACCCCAATATCTGAAGCATGAGACACATCAATTATACTTCTGCGACAAGTAGGAAGTACGCCAGAGTCCACTGAATTATGCTGTGTAGTTAATTTTTAGTTATGCCGAAAATGGGGTTACAACTAGCGATACTCGAACTTTAAAACACAGCTGCGCATACAATATATGAATATCTACCCTCTTCCTTGATAGCTGCAACATCCTGACGTCAAAAAATCAGCCTTTTCTCTGCCCCCCTTCATTTGGGAAATTTATCAGACTAATGACGTTATTTCTCACGAGCAAAAAAGAAAAAGAAAAAGTCAATGACTGGTGTTTGAGGAGCTCTGGTTAACCAAGTCAGCACCACTAACATACTTGGCTACAAATGATATCAGCCGGAATGGCGCCCCAACAAGGGGAGCATCAGTAAGTGGCACTTCATCGTCCTGTTCCACATCCCGGGCAGCCAGCGACTCCGGACTCCTTACATCATTGTCATCCAACGGAATTTGCACAATTTCTCCAGAGTCCTCAGATGCCGACGGAAAGCTTGAAATTACCCCACCAGTATGCGCAGCATTTACAGTGCTACTTTTATCCTCAACTGGAGCTTCTCCTGAAGAATTCAGCTCTCCGATTGACATAGATATATGCTCTTCAGATTCAGGCAAAGCAACGGCTGCTGTATCAGGTTTAGCAGATTCATCCAACCCATCAGTTCCACTGGCTCCAGAAAGTTCAACTGCTGCACTTGGTAGATCCCGCTCCACATACAACTCGTTCACCTGATAATGAAAATGTGCATGCATAATACTACTTAAATAACCTTAGCCAACAATTTGAAGTTCATAATACGAATAACATAGTTATCCTCTATCACCTTCTCAACAAGTTCCGCATTTTCAGCAACCAATTTCTCCACCAACACTTGGGCTGCTTCAATTTGAGATTTAAAGTCCTCATTTTCAGAAGCATAATCCTACTCCACAGCAAGGTAAAATATGATCAGAAGCAACATTTAGGCCAAGCAATGATGACTTTTCCACCTAGATTTACAAGAATCACATTTTGAGATACTTCGACAGTTTCTCAGTCAATCACACCCACCACCATCATTTTCAAAGGATGACATGAAAGGGCCACAAGACTCAAAAGTGTTCCTTGTTATAGTCATCATCTACCAGTCACATTCTGCCTCTGCCTCTATAGATTTGAGTACCAAATACAATTAAGATTAAAGAACTATTACACCATGTTATCACTATACATAACTCTCCATGTTCCTTTGTTTTCCCTTCTCTTAAAATTAAGGAAAAAATTCCCAAAAAAACACATTAGCATTAAGGCAGTATAATAAATGTCAGCCTATAGTATAAGATCCCCAAGAAGATAACCTTCGCAGATGCATTCAGTGAGAAGGAAGAGATAGTCTTTTCAAGATTCCAAATTTTCGTTTGAAGACCTGACAGATTTTCTTTCAGTTCCTGGTTCTCTAGCAACAGAGTATTCCTGCACACTTCCAACTCTGCCACCTGCCAAACTTTGTTTTTAATTTCCATATCAGAACAAAGACAGGTTTGTTGTGGAATGGCCACGGCTAAATAACAGATTGTGAGGGAACGCTATTGAAACCAATGCAGCAATGCTTGCTACTAACTGGGAGTGATGTCAAAGAGAAATTCTTCTATTAAATGTCACCACAGCTATTTTTGTTGTGATGAAAGATGGCAAAACATAATATAGCCTAAAGAATTCTGCCAATGGCATAAAATAATGCATTGGTTCCAAAGCAAAGTACAAATACGAAGTGGATAATTACATAAGTTAGCGAAGCTTTCTTTAGAACAAAAAACGAACAAACAACTAATGCAATAATTTCATCCACATGAAGGGCAACAGCTCTTGTGCTTACAAAACTAACCCAAGCAGTTCTTGTCATAGCTACAACACGTATGTTAAAAGAAGCTACAGGTAAAGCTACGGTGACAATGCAAGCAAACTGGTGAGTGGTGGCATCAAATCAATTGCCATACAAATACCAGATGCCACTTCTTGTTGTCTGACCAGATAAATCGGTACAGCTATTATTTATGCCAGTATGATATATTCATGCAAGTGCACAAGGTACATACCTGCGATTGTAGCCTGCTGATATCATCATTCAGGTATGAAACAGTTTCTTTGGTTGACTTCTACATGATAAACGCATGGTATAGCTCTAATAAGTACAATTTTACAAGGACTTAGGCTGCATGACTATCAGTAAATTATAATGACGAGTCGTTACAATTACATAGTATGAACTATAGTTGCTCCCTTCTCTCTCCCCTCTTTTGGCTAGCATAATAGCCACATATTCTGATATTCACATTATCACTCTTAAAGTACATCATAACCTTTTTACTAAATTTGTAGCCATGCCCTGCTTGTAAAGACCAGGTGCAACATATTCTTCAAGAAAATTTAAAAAAATGAAATCATGGGCCAAATAAACAATGTGCATTTCTTTGTAACATGAGTAGAACTACTATTGGTTAACATAGACGCAATTTAAGTGCTTCAAGATCTTTTTTTATTTCCTTAAGAAAAGCTAAAAGAAATCTTATCAACTAGATTATGAGTCCGTACATGTACAAAATTCGAGAAAAGCTAGGTTGTTTGACCTATGAATTGTGCGGCATCCTATAGATTTTTTTATAGCTAAAGATTTTACATTATTTATAAAATATTAAGTATAGAATTATAAGTAAAATATAGATGTAATAAGTCACTTAATGAAGTCATTGAGCAAGATTTTTCAATTAACAATATATCCAAAGATCCAAAGATTTGGCTTTGGATAGCTAGAAGAAATATTATCAACTAGATTATGAGCCCGTACATGTGCAAAATTTGAGACAAGCTACGTTATTTGACCTATGAATTGTGCAGCTTCCTATAGATTTTTTTTATAGCTAAAGATTTTACATTATGTATAGAATTATACATAGAATATAGATGTCACAAAGCAGCAGCATATTATAGTTCACCCACCTACAGAAAGCATTGGCGTCATATCAAATGCAGCAACTAACCACCCTACCAAAATGGACATAATAAGGAGAACAATGTTTCCAATACATCAAAACATAGGAAAATAGAATAGCCATTACCTCCCTCTCAAAAGAAATACTTATATCTCTCTCCAGGTGATTTATTCTTTCCACCAAACTTTCCTGCAGAAATATTGAACACTGGATTCAGAATTTCAAACCCAATTCTAATTAAAAGGAAAAATCTCAAACAGTGCGCAGATAAAAAAGAGAGTAAAACATAGGCAAGCATGATGTGCATGTAAAGAATCAGGCTTTACCACTTTCAGGCCCAAAACTGAATTCTCATTCAATAACTGGTTGGTTTTCTCCTCCAAACCAGCCTGCAAATGATTTTAAAAAAAAAAAGTTCTTGACAATTATTCCTCAAATTTAATGAACATAAAACTTTCAGAAGCAAGAGAAAAAAAACCAACTAAGTCGTCACCTTTATCTGAAGTAAAGAATCGTTTTCACTCTGTAACTGTGCCATTCTCATTTCCAGAGTATCCTACAGATTATCAATTAGTTATAGAAGTCAGTAGCCCAACATGCAACATCAAACATAAAGGTAAGAATCAGAAGCGCATAAAAGCTCCGCAGAATAAAGAGTCATCAGACGTGTTAAAATCGCACTGATTTACCTGTTCTTTTGCCAGAAGATCATTTTCAGTTCGTAATCTATTGATGGCCTCTTCCAACGTAGCCTGTAAAAGAAGTATAGAGTTGCAACACAAGCGTGACATATGAAGCAATAAATAGATTTTAGATTTGCACAAAAGTAAATAAGCATTTGGGAAAATGAATTTATTAAATAGGCAATTACATTACATAAAATTATTTACAAAGCAACTAGAACATGAAACGCTCATCCTACATCTCTTTTTCATACCCTTTTCTTTAGATAGCCTTAATCAGACCAACAAAGGGGCTACCTATTAATTGATCTCTATTTGAAAAATCCTTCTTGCACTGGGTAGCCTAAATATAACCCAAGAAAAAGGGACACAGTTTTCTGTCTCCAATGACACATTTCATAAAGGATTATAAACCATATCATCTAGGCAATTACTATTGCGATGCTGGCTAGTAGGTATTATTAACCGTCGTACTTTTAACACTTTGACCAACACATGAGATTCCCATGGACGGCCATCCTTTTAAGAAGATTTTCCCTTTTTCCAATACACGAAATTTACACTCTATTCTGGGTCAGCTTCTAGTTCAGAAACAATACCCCAAGGAAAAAAAAATCACAGAAAGGATTCTTAACCAGCATATTTTCCCTTAGCTTTGGAGAGAATTGATAGAACTGATGGCCTGACATCATAAATCTGCATTACTGATGAACCTTTTACAGCCCAAAAACATCTCTCATAAAATCTTGACCACATATCTATGAGTTGATAGCTCATATAACACCAGCATCACTTCTAAGATTGAGGTGACTTTGACGTCATCAGTTATATTCCCCACCCTTCCCACTTTACCCATTACCCAGTGTCAAGGCTTTGAGCCTCCTTTGAAACCAAAAACGAAATTTAATATTACCTCTTTCTGAATGTGCATAGCATTTTCTTCTTTCACATTTCTTATTGTCCCTACTGACATAGCCTGTGCAAGAATGGGCTGCATGAGTAATGAAAAACTTTCAAAGATAAGTTTTAAAATGAGGGCAGACATCTCTCAGGTATAAAAGATTTAAACCATATTACCTCTTTCTTAAAGTGCATATCTTTTTTATTCTTTCAATTTTCTAATTGTCTCTTCAGATATGATGGAAAAAGATAGGCTATTTTGCTATAAAAACTTTGCAAGACAATGCTAAAAACAAGGGGCAAACATCTCCTTTTTTTCCCCCCCTGAAGAAAGGCCTTTTTGTTAACATGCATGCATATCATTTTTTTTTTTTTTGGGTTAATTTCTCATTATCTCTTTGCGTGGGGCTTGGGTAAGATAGGCCACCTTCTATAACACCACCGTAAGATAACTTAAACAAGGGAGAAATATCTCTCATCTAAACACCTGAAATTTGTGATTACCTCCTTCTGAATAAGCACATTATTTTCCTCTTTCAATTTTTTGATTGTCTCTTCCGATATAACCTGTGAAAGATATGTTATAAGTGTTACTCCAGCATTTTGATTTGAGCTCAACGAAATATGAAGAAAGAGAGGAAAATTGTTGAATGAAATCAAAATCAGTGAATTCCAACCTACATGATGCTTTGTATAAATAGCAGAACATGCAAGACACTGAAGACGAATAACTACAAAATGACATCTTAACAATCACACTATCATAACCTACCAAATCTGGAATTAGATACACCCTGATGAACACTCACTATCTACTCATGATGCATACAATCCAAGAAGCCCAAAAACAAAGAACAAATATCTCTATAGCTAAGTTGAACATAAATGATCGTATTATTTTCCTCCCTCAATTTTCTAATTGTTTCTTCACACGCAGCCTGTGAAAAAATTGAATCCGGGATTTCAAATTATAAAAACATGAAAACAGGTAAGCACTTGGTAAAACATTAAAAGCATCTTGCCTCTTTCTGTACCAGCATATCATCGTCATTTCTCAATTTTCTAACTATTTCTTCTGAGATTGCCTGTCAAAGGCAAAGTCATCGAGTTTAGGCACAAACTGATAGGATTCAAAGCCAGAGTAACCACCCAAACTACTAACTTACCAGAGAGGAGAAAGGAGGAAGCTGATGCTTTGAATTAGTCTAAATAAGTCTTATTTTACGATTATTTAATTTGTCAGTTAGCTAAACAAAATGACCAATATGGCTGTTGAAGGTCTACAATGTTACTTTCTGTTTTTCCCGGGATATTAGAGATATTTTTTTCTTCTTCTTCTTTTTTCAAATATTTATTTCGGTGTCTTTCAGCATTATAAATATGCTAGGAGACCTTAAAGCCAGCATATCAGAAGGAAATAAATTATCTATTCAGTTTATTGCAGATTCTCCTACTTTGGCTACTAGAAATTATTCGAATGAGATATTTGCTTGAGTTGTTTTTAGCAGATTGTTCTCTGTCTCTTTTTTATTATTCAGTTCACTACATAACATAAACAGCTTTGTCCACCAACACTCATAGATACCAAGTACAATGTTGAATAAACATGAAAAAGATGACATTGACGAGATTTAGTAAATTAATTCTCGCCTCTCTCTCAGTCTCCTGCTGATTCCCACTATCCCCTTGAACAGTTAGATTGATCTGTTGCAAAAACAACGGCTAGAAGATAAAAACTTTTTCATGAAACTAAACTTAAAATATATAATTCGAGCATAGAACAAAAAATAAAATCTGCAGCATTCTTTATTGACGGTAGGAAAACTTACACACTCTTTACCATTTGGCGGCTGTCTATTTGAATACGCAATCGTACTTTGCTCATCTGTGTCCTCCGAAAGTTGACTATGTTCATCTTTCCCATTATTTACCAGATTCTGATCCCCACTTGCCGACTGCTCAGCTGCAACTACCCCATCCACCACAGCCTTACTTTGCTTGTTCTTTTTCTTCTTGTTTTTCTTCCTCCTCTTCTCTTCCTCCATGCCAAGCTCAAACTCTCTATGCAAAAGAGATGAAAGCAGAGATCTTTCAGATTTACAAGAATATCCTACAACCATATAACTCCATTTTCTAATAAGTTTGGGTCACGAAAACAACAGGGACCAGCGGTGTCAATACGATTATGGTGGACTCAGATTCATATAATCAAATGCAAAAGGGAAAACGAGCATACAAATCCAAAAACAAAAAAAAAAACAAACAAACAAATAAACGGCACCTTGAAATCTATAAATCCTACGATCTCAGCCCATAATACCTGAGCAAGGAAAGATAAAGGTTGGTTTTTTTATCAGGGGAATCTATATGGAAGTATTAACAGATATAATTCGAGTGTTATGGAGCGTAACGAGGAGAGAAATGGTGGAAATAAATGAGAGAATGTACCCTTAGCGTAATCCGCGATTTTTAGTTTCTCGGCCTGATGCGTAATCTGCAAAATTGGGAGAAAGCGAAACAAACGAAGGGGCAGCAAAGGGAGTTCGGCGATAGAGAGGGAACCAACGCTAGGGCTTTCCTCCCCAAATCTGGCGCGCTTTTGGCGCCGTATGGACAAATGGGGCGAGAACTTCTTTTTCTTTTTCTTTTTTTCCTTTTTCTCCCTTAATCAGCGGTGTATTGGCGTGACTCTGAGAATTACTCCTCCATTTATGTCCTGACAGTAACACTACAACACTAGCATCTTTCTAAAATCATTTCATATAATTTCATAGGAAAATTATTTCATGTTGCGTCTTTTTCTCCGAAAAAGGAAAAAGGGCAATTAGAAAATAAAATAAACTGTAGGATGCGGGGGCTAAAACGGGGCATTAATCGAAGAGGCTAGAGGCAAATCGGTAATCATAGCCAGGAGCTACGAGATTAAATTCCAGGTTCACGCGCAATAGACGAGGCGAACGCACTTGTCAACAAATAGGCAAGGTTAGGCGGCACCAGATACCACAGATTTCCGAGTTTTCTAAAGCATCAGGTGGCTAATTACTCTTGCTTTTCCATAAAAATCCAATTCTGTTATCTGCAGCCTAATACTCTTGCTCTTTTTCTTTTTGGCCAACCCAATACTCTACCCTACATTTTGGTGATGTGGAGGTATAATTAATCCGCAGTAGTTAGTACTATTCCGGGTACTACGTGTTTAGAGTTTAGACCAATCCCATGACTTTTATCATATTTTTCAGCCAACCTAATCCGGACTATATGATAATGGGATTCCTCACGCAACTACGAAACTCCCTTGAATAATGTTGAGACTGAGAGTTAGGACAGCATACAATGTTGGCTGGCAAATCTTTGTCCAAGTATCATGGCAAACCATGTCTTCCGCATGATTCAAAACGTGGTTCCCACTCTCCAGTTTGGATGATGAAGCTGAATCTCAGTCATGTTCACAATTTTGCCTTCTTTTTATTGAATTTTCTTAGCTGCATTCTCTTCCCGAAACCTTCTTCACGCTTGGCTAAACCGAAAATTCAAAAATATATAAAGCTAAATCAGGGGTTCAGTGTGGCATAACAATCAGAGATACATGGAAAGAGAGATGCCAGCTTGTAATGGGGACCGAATTGCGAGGGGGTCTTAGTGGTCTTAACCTTTAATTATTAAATACTAATATTAAATGTTAAGTATTAGTTATTAATCAATTGAACTGACGAGAGTCGAGTCAGGTGGGGCATTGGCGACCCGTACACCCAATTCCAATCCAAATCATTATCAATAACATATCTGGGATTCTCTCCCTCTCTCTCTCTCTCTCTCTCTCTCTCTCTCACACTCCAGTTACAAGACTTCCCCTTGTCGAAGCCACCTATTCTTTCCCATTCTCTTACCGCTGCCACCTCACTTGTTGATCTTTCCCTGCTTTTTCTCCAAAAAAAAAAAATCAGGTTTTCCTTCTTCCCTTTTTCTATTCTGATTTCTGCATTCCTCTTCTCCTTTTCCCCAAATCTATTACCTGTTTTGTAAGCTTTCTCTCCTTCCTACTGCTTCAAATCAAACTATTCAGACCTTAATTGGCTCTTGTCTGCCCCACTGCTTCTTGTTGTCATGGAATTCTGCGATACTTGTTCAGCTGAAGTTAGTTTTTTTTTTTTTATCCCCTGATTCCAGGCTTCACTTGTCATATTAATTCTTCCCTTGAAGCTAAAAGCTCGTGGCTTTGAAACAATAAAATGGGGAACTGCATGGCTCGGGTGAGAATGCTTGGTCATTTTAATCAGAGTCTCGATAATTGTGCTCATTCTATGTTTTAAGGCACGAGTCACATGCTATAAATTGTCATCTCCAGTGAATCGCATCTTCCTACCGAATATGTTGAAAAATAATCTCCGTAGCTGCAAAGTCTCTTAACACTGAGACTGAGCTTGCATGTAGCCCCAGATGGACAATTTGTTCGACTATATTTAACTTTAGTTTTCAATTACTGGGGTTCATGAAAATAGCGTTATGAAGCCCTTCTGTTTTGATAGCCTTTCGCTGTGCCTTTTCTCTTTCTGTCAGTAGATTTTTAGTGCCTTAACCACAGTCCAAGGTGATCTCTTACAATCTTCAGCCTGCCTATGTAAATTGCATCGTAAGTAATAAGCGTCAGGTGTATTAGAATGGGGGAGTAAAAGAGCGAGAATGGAGAAATGGTTGCAACCAAATGTAACAACAAATAGGATCCAGGCGAGAGTAGGCAACGGGTTATTATTATAGGCCATGCTCGATTAATGGAAGGAAGTTTCTTGTTGTAAATAGTGATATTAGTGATGGAGTCAGGTTCTAGTTTCTTCCTCTACAGATGATGCTAGAAAAGCGAAGAAGGTAAAAACTAAATTGCTATATTTTCCAGACGCATGGAAACTATTGTGTTTCACACTGAATGCAACTCCTACATCGGGTATAAGTGATGCTCTTCACTTTCCCATGACAGGTATCTGGTCCGATGATATTGTTATCTAAATAATAATGATCAGTTGGACATAACTCGTGATGATAGGTAGGTGCTTGGTAATTGTGAGAAAGGGACCTAAATGATGCGGAGTATTTTAACTCTAATGTGGATTTCTGCTCCTGTCAACCTAGTAGCCTCACTATTCCTGACCTTTTGTTTTCTCCTCGCTACTGGCTTCCAAAATGGAAAAAGCGAAGAGAGTTTATGTGTCTGCTTTCTCCTTAATGGTTTCAACATTCATAATGTATTTGGTCTACATCATTTACTGGCAAATTATGAAAGAGAAGTTTCGTGTTTTTGTTTGTAGCCTTCATCCAAGGATGGCAATTCTGATCACCACGTGGACTTTGCTGCTGGGAATGTACAACTTATTACTTCCAGAGAATCTTGGGATCAGAAGATGGAAGAAGCAAGAAAGGATGGCAAAGTTGTAAGATTTTCATCTTGCATGGTTTGGGAGTACATCAATACTCATTAGTTAGCACCATTTTGTTTCATTCTTTGGCTTAACCATTAAGTATTTTACCATCCATGTTATTTCATATTATTAATAAATATGTTGTTTTTCACTGCAAAACCTTCCTAAACACTAATCCTTATAGCATATTTAAGGTTATATTTATAGTATTTGCAACATTTAGGACACTCAACAAAAATACATATTTATTAGTATGCTATATTTTTTTGACCTTGATTACATGCTGAATAGAATATTCTACATACTCTATTTTTCAGAACCCAGTACTGTCTCATATTTTGACTGTCATCAAGCTTGCTGTTTAACAACTACATCATATCCGATCTATCTTAGTTCCCTTTTATTTCTTGCATAGGAGGGTCTTAGTTCTTTTTGGTAGCGCCTATCCGAACATTTTGTGTGTCCTATTCAGAATCATATATGGTATTTTCCCCTAGCCATTTAATGAAACAAAAAATTTAAAGGCTTTTTCATGTTATTGGAAGATACCAATGTAAGCTGATATTTTCAACATTGGCCGGGGTAGATCCTCTACTAGATTCTTTTTTGGGTCTGCAGGAAAACTTGTGTCACAATTCAAACTGAAGTTGTATGTTCAACAGGTGATTGCAAACTTCAGTGCATCGTGGTGTGGCCCTTGTAGGGTGATTGCACCTTATTTCTGCGAGTTATCAGAGAAATATCCATCAATTATGTTCTTAATAATTGATGTCGATGAACTCACTGTAAGTAGGGAAGCTGTAAACGTTATCATTTCATGCCATGAACTTGTTATTATAGTTTAATATTGAAGCACACATTTTTAACTAGTACTCTTTAGTCCTCCTTGAACGTGGATGATGAAGGGTATCAAATTCCTCCGACTTCAGTTAGTGATGAAGAATTCGTCGTTTAGAAAATATATTAATCAATTCAGTAACTTACGCACTACGCACATGCATACGTCAAATCAAGGGTGAAATTTTATTTGATGATAATGGGTTTTCTCTTTGTTGGGTGTTATTGAGGACTAACTCAGCTCTAAAACATCAACCGTTAAGGGAGTCCATACATTGTTTTATTATAATCTTTAAGATATCCCTTACGACAAAGCTCTTTAGGTTTGAGAATGTGAACATAGCTTAGGCCCAACATACCTAAAACTCAAACCTAGTACTCGTATTAATCAACAGAATAAAGATAGCAGAGATTATCAGTACTTATGAGTAGTTTTTTTTAATGATCTTTCGAAGTCATGGGGAACGTACAACGGTTTTGTATGTTTCAGGACTTCAGCACTTCCTGGGATATCAAAGCCACCCCAACTTTCTTCTTTCTCAGAGATGGGAAACAGATTGACAGACTGGTAGGAGCCAACAAGCCTGAGCTGCTGAAGAAAATTGTTGCCATTAGTGATTCAATAGTTCAGTATCAATAAGGGCTTGTTTCCAATGGCAAGAAGCTATGGGTTTCTCCCTAATCAATGCTGTCTACCGTTCTTGTTTTGCATTCTCGATGTAAGTATTGGGTTTCGCAATGATGTCATTCATTTAAATTATTGGCGTCACTATGACAATATGTTCAAGCGAGTCTGTTCTAAAAATATTAAAAGGTGTTGTTCAAATGTTTCCAAGCATTTGTTTGATCTTTTCATACGAGAAGCTAGAGGATGAAGCTGTACAATTCGGATCGGTCCGATCATTTACATTTTTATTTACACAGGTGAATAATGCATAAAGGGTATTCGTGGAGAAATAGGATAGGAGAATAAATTTAAAAAAAGAAACAGAAGTATATGTTCCACACAGTATTTTGTATTGTTTCACCAATGCATGAACGTATAAATGCAAAAGATTCAAGTTAAAAATTTTGTTTGGTCATCCCAATCTTATTTGCTTCGATAAAAATAATAATAATAATAAAGATGACAACAAATTACATCATACCCGACATTTCTGTGCAGTGCAGGGTAAACGCGACTGATCCCGAGGTGTTTGGCAAATAGGCATATGCTTCATGTGTCATAAAATGTCAAATTGATAAAAAGTTAACACTATTTATAAAATGTTATTTCTGTCCAGTCTTACGTTACAAAATGTGTCTTATATTTAGAACCTGATGAGTATCATTTATAAATTAAGAACAATGCAGTTTATTTTTCATATTTCATATGATATATATACATAGTTCCAAAAAAAGTAGGTGTCAAAATCAGAAGATGGAAGCGGTGACAAGCAAGAACTTACATACAGCTTAATTAAGGAACGACAGGCAACAAGAACCGCGGACGATACTTCCAAAGTAAAGTTGTTAACTTTAGAGGCAGCCCCTATTTCTTTATTACTGTTCATTGGGTGCATCTCGGACAATTGATACGGAAGCTTCACAATCACAAAAGACATTTCCCCATATGCTTACCTGAGAATTCAGATCCACCTCTTGCTTTCTTCTTCTTCTTCTACTTTTCTTTCTCATCAACTCAAAACCAACCTCCCCACAAGCTCTTCCCATACAAGACATGGGTTCACATATTAATCGGTACACACACGGACTCATGTGGTCCTAACTTTTTCCCCCTAATGGAGGGCAAATCTTAATTGTTAACAGAGACATCGCAACTAATACTGCTTGTATTAACTCTTAGCAATAACAAGTCTATCTGTTCCTGAATTACAAAGTCTGATTTTGGGGAACACAATCAATCCAACGTATCTTAGCAGTCACAAGTTTGCAGCTTTACTCCTACCCTTCATCTCTCTATTTAATTTTCCTTTGCAATGGAAGAGAAGGCAATTTAAAGCTTTTCTTTCTTCGCTTTAAAGCTTGAATATTAGAAACATGATCTCTGCTTGCACACTACTCTTCTGAGGACAATTTCATATATCTATATAATGTGGATCAAAAGGGTATGGACAACCTGGCTCGATGATCAGCTCTATGGATCCCCAGAAGAAATTTGGATTATCACGCACTGTTTCTTTCATCCTTTTTTTAATTCTTACTAAGGATCTAAGTTGCTCCGCATTTGGTGGCAGTGGACAAGACGAAACGGGAGCCATTGAGGAAGAGTATGAGGCAGCCCACAATCAGATAGCTGATACTATCTCAACTTATGTGTGAGCATCACGAAAATTTTCTTTTTCTTAATTATTTTTAGCGTTTTTTTTTTCCAATTTCGTTGAAATTATACGAATTTTGCTTCTATTTTCAAAACTTAAAAGCAAAAGTAGTTACACAACTTGTTGTTGAGTCCCCCCCCCCAAAAAAAAATTGTGGAGAAGTATGTATATTGACTAACCTGTTCACATCAGCAGTGAAATAGAGGACATGGAAGAAGAAGAAGGGGAGATGGTACAGAAGAAAGGAAACCAGTTTGTGGTGAATGATCAGCCATTTTACGTGAATGGGTTTAACACATACTGGCTGATGGTGTTTGCAGCAGATGAATCCACCAGAGGAAAAGTCAGTGAAGTGTTCAAACAAGCAGCCTCAGTGGGCATGACTGTCTGTAGGACTTGGGCCTTCAATGATGGCCAATGGAGAGCCCTTCAGAAATCCCCATCAGTTTATGATGAAGAAGTCTTCAAGGTTCTGTTTCCTTGTTATCCCCCGTTATTCTCACAGATTTCCTGCTTACTTCACTACTTCATCAAATGATTTTAATTATCGTTTGACAGGCCTTAGACTTTGTGGTCAGCGAAGCAAGGAAATACAAAATAAGGCTCATCTTGTCATTGACTAATAACTGGGAGGCGTATGGTGGCAAAGCACAATATGTGAAATGGGGCAAAGCTGCTGGCCTTAACTTGACCTCTGATGATGACTTCTTCTCACATCCAACTCTTAGAAGCTACTACAAGGCTCATGTCAAGGCAAGTTTCTCAGATGCACAACAGCTCACAACAGTTCTTTCAGACTATTTTGTCTGAGGCTTTTCTCTCTCTCTCTCTCTCTTTTTTTTTTTCATGGTTTCATGTTGTAGATGGTGTTGAATAGAGTTAATACATTCACAAACATCACCTACAAGAATGACCCCACAATTTTTGCTTGGGAACTCATGAATGAGCCTCGATGCACCTCAGATCCTACAGGCGATAAATTACAGGTTCTATCTCTCAAGTACTTCTTTAGTTCATGTTCATATTCAGTTCTTTTTCAAGTGTTTAGTACTCCTCCAGTCTTTATGCAAAGTCTAATTAGCTAATTTGAGTAGATTAAAGATGTTAGTTAAATTAGTTAATATAATTATTTTTTTCTAGAACATCCTAAGCATCTTCTTTAATTCCCTCCCTCCTTCCCTCTCCTACTTAATTATTGTTAAGGGAATATCAATAGGGTTAGTTTGAGAAAAAAATTGATAAACTTGTAAAATAGGTTTTACATATAAGACCAATATCAACTTCCTAATTAGGTCCTATATTAAAGACCAAAGGAGTACATTGTTATTTTATAGTACCTCTGGTTTTTTGTGTAAGAGCTAAATAACTAATTTGTGAATATTAAGAAAATTAGTTAAGTTAATTATTTGTAATGAATGAGTGTTGTTTTTCCTAAAGTATCCTTATTAGTTACATGCATTACAATAAAAACTATTTAACACGTGTAATTACCATGGGCATTATTTTGAAAAAAAAGAATAAATATTAAAAATAAAATATATTAGGGTTTTATATTTATGACCAAATTGAATCTCCAATTAGCTCTTATATTTAGAAGCAAAGGTATTATATCTTAATATCTTTGGATCAATGGCGACATCATGATAGCATTGGAAAGACATCCTAAGATCTCCCGTACTGAACTGAGCTGTGTCTATTTTAGGATTGGATACAAGACATGGCAGTGTATGTGAAGAGCATTGATCCAAAGCACCTGGTGGAGATTGGATTAGAGGGATTTTATGGCCCTTCAACTCCGCAGAGAGTTCAGTTCAATCCAAACACATATGCTCAGCAAGTTGGAACAGATTTCATCAGAAACCACCAAGTTCTTGGTGTTGACTTCGCTTCTGTTCACGTGTATCCAGACTCTTGGTAACTACATTAAACACTATAATTTTTACTTGTAAAGTTCCAAGTAAATAACCACGGAAAGTTTAATCACAATGTCTGATACACGTCCTCGCATAAAGGTTCTTGGGCTGAACTCTGACGCTGTGTAAATTGTCAAGAATCACTTCAACTAGAAAGCCCAAGCTTTACGACAAAAACCAACAAATACTCTTGTTAGATTCTCTAATCCCACTCTAATATGTGGAGTCTCGAACACTTGTACTATTCATTCTGCTTTGTTGTCACTATTATTGTATTTTTTTTACATGACATCTCTAATGAAGAAATATTGTCCTGGATGAAGGATTTCTCAAGCAATTTCTGATAAGCATCTCCCATTTGTGACATCTTGGATGGAAGCCCACATAGAGGATGCTGAAAAGTATCTCGGAATGCCTGTGGTTTTTGCTGAGTTTGGAGTGTCTGCAAAAGATCCTGGCTACAATTCAACATACAGAGACACCCTTATAAACACAGTGTATAAGGCAATCTTAAACTCCACAAAGAAGGGAGGAAGTGGAGCCGGAAGCCTGCTATGGCAGGTGTTTCCCGATGGAACAGATTATATGGATGATGGGTATGCAATTGTGCTTTCAAAGTCTGCTTCCACCTCAAGCATTATATCCCTTCAATCCACAAGGTTGGCCCTGTTCAACTCCAGGTGTTCTTGGAAATGCCACTGGGGCTGTAAGAAGAAAAAAGAACTGGAAAAAATAATTGATCATGATGAGCTCTGAAACAATATCCGTCAAGCTTCCAATTCATAGACATGTTTGTCTCATGGTCAGCGTCACTTTGAAAAATGAAACGGATAAAATATCAGGATATACTGTATCATTCTGCATGCAGCAATGTGAAAATTGTATTGGCTTTGTATGTTGGGACATTCTGGTTGTGTTACGTTGCTCGTTTATTTTCATCTAGTTTTACAGTAAAGTGGCATTGCAGGTGAGGAGAACAGTATGGAAAATGACCACTAATGTTCGTGATAAAGGCGTAACCAAAAACAGCACAAACCTAGTATTGTTTGTTCTTGACATTTCAACTAGCCGCAATGAGAAAAATAACTAAATATATGGACAAGAAAATATTTTTTTTATTTTCTTTAACTTTTTATTTGCACCCAAAAAAACAAACGTTTTATATCATGAGGATTCGATAGTGAATTTTAAGTAACAAATTTGTAAAATCCTATCAAGTTGTGTTTATGACTATAAGTTTTAACTAATAAATTTTCAATAAAAATGCAAGAATTACTGATTACATTGTGTTGAATCAATTTAGTAATTTAACTTGATGGCATAAAAATTTAATAATTCAACACACCAAGGCTAGTCAATCAATCATTACATGTCATATTTATGGGTTTTGAGGAAAAAATGAATATAAAGCGTGAAAAATAAATCCCATTAAGCCTAAAATATTCAGAAATCCAGCGTAATGGACGCATGCTATATAACAAGCAAAAACTATCCTGTGTTTTTTTCCCCTTTTGTTTTTATAGACAGGCCCTTTTGATTTATAAAAGAAGAATAAAGAAATGAAGGAATAAAGAATGTCACCCAAAAAAAAAAAAAAGAAGAAATAAAGGAATAAAGAAAGCCGTAGCCGTTAGCGCCTGTCTGGTTTTAAATTCAAAACCTGTTGCCACTCCTCACATATGTATAGAGCGTATGAGCTCGCGAAAAGGAAACCAATAAAGGAAAAAGGCCTAATAGAAGAAGAAGAAGAAGCTGCGAGATGCAAACATCGCAAATGGTCGAGACTCCCGTGACCAGAGGTCCCACGTTGCGACCCAGATCTGGTCGGACTCCGCTTCAGCCCAAGAACTCCCCCGCCAATCCCATCCTCGATCCTGTCACGCCCCCCAAATCCAAGCAAAAACCGATCGAAATCTCTGTGATGAAGTTGGATTCCAACAAGGAGAATCTTGATCCCACGAAGCTGGAACCGCTGGATGCGTCGCTAGCTGAGGAACTCAGTGCGATCAAGAAGAAGCTGGAAAGGCTGAGATCCGACAAAGAGAGGACCGAGAAGATGTTGAATGAGAGGGATTCAGTGCTGGATGGTTATCTGAAGGAGATGGAACTGAGAGGGCAATTTCAGAAGTGCCTTGAGATGGAGGTTGATCGGTTGTTCCGACTGAAGGAGCTCAAGTCTCGCTGTATGGTGCGTATACTAGTTCAACTATAGCAATAAAATTTGGTTTCAATTTCATTGATAGTGCTATGACTTATGGCTTCTGTTTTCTCTGTTAATTGAAACAGAGAGTTTCTCCAATTAAGTCTTTGAGAGAAAAGGAGCAAGGAAAGACGATTAGCGATTCGCCGTCGGAGGTGAAGACACAGGATATGGTAGAGTCGGGGGAGGAATATGAGTCGCGAAGTCCAGGATCATCATCATCCCGAGTTGATATGCAGAAAACCTGATCATGATTCTTGCACTTCCGTGAATGAGCTTAAGGTTAAAACAGGGTGTGGGGAAGTTTCGATTCAATACATAATAACTCGTTATGAATGAGTATACATTTTCCACTCCTATGTTTCACTTACAATCAATTGTACTGCTAGCAAGAGATGAAAGAAGGAGGGGATGAGAGATGTTTGACCACATTATTTCTATATAAAGAATATGGCTTTTCTATTAAAATCTCTCTAGGAATATCTCATTCCAAGTCTGCCCAGATTATGTGTAAATGTCATGAGAGGTGCTGGTCAAAAAAAAAAAAAAAGTCATAAGACGCATAAAAATAATCAAGATGAGAAGGTGTGTTTTAGTACGCACAAAGCAGACTGGAGAGAGAAGCAGGAGAACAACGCTGTTCACACTTGTGATGAAGCCAGCATTGTTGGTTTCGAAGACCAAGAAATGAAATGGTCAGCTTTCTATTTAATTGGGCTTTGACGAAGGCTGCTCACTATTGTGAAACTTGAGTGCAAGCAATTTTCTTGAGTGAAAACTGAGATTCATTCATAAAGTATCAAACAATACATATCAAACAATACAAATACATATCAAGCAATACATACAAAAAAAGAGTCTTTAAATCATCTAGCCCAGCACAAATATAACCCAGAATGATTCTTACTAATTCGACAGCAGCTGGTGGAACGTTGATGAGTTTGCAACTATATCCATAGATCCAATGATTATGGTTGTTTCTAATAACACCATCACAACCACTCCGACCATTTTCAGGAACTGACGCATTGACCTCCACCTTAACAGCACCGAAAAGAATATTCTGAATGATTCCTTCATCAGCATGAATAGGAGTAAGGATTCTGCTCAGTAAATCTCGGTGTGCATTGAGGTTTTCTGCAGTGTCAATATTACCAAACAGTTTATTACAGTTGGTGCCCCAGATATCCCAGCATATCTATCTAAACAGAATAATCTATTGAACTTTCTGAGTATGATTCTGACCTACTTCATTCTTCGAGTTCCATTTAACCCACTTTACACCTTGAAATGTGCACACACTTCGATCTAGCTTAGTTGTGTTTTGGCACAAAAATTATAATAATAACTGATATAGGAGAAAACTCTACTGATTGATTCATTGATTTTGGGGTTGCTTGCAGAGATTCATGTGTAGTATCCAATAATAGTAATGTGATGGAGCTTGCAACAGCCATCGAATGAAATCTCTGCTCTGCGATAAATCATTACTGATAAAATGTTCCCTTCACTCCTCAGTCTGTATCAGCCAGCTTGGTTCTCCATTGTCAAGTGGGAACAAAAGTCGTCACTCAGCTCCATTGGACCAGTAATTGATCATATTTCTGGTTCGTGAACTGAAAATAACTGGCAGGAATGGAATTTAACGGAATAAAATATTTATTTTTAATTCCTCTGCATCAAGTTAACTATTGTGCTTGCTTTCCTGCTCAGATGCCTCTTCTTCACTTTTTGCTGTACCACGAATCAATCCTATCTCCCTCCTCAGCCGTTCTTCAACTAGTGTAACAGCAGTATATATTTACATAATATAACCAGTTCAAATATTCATTCCCGTTGCTTCCAACTCTATTCAAATATTATTTCCAGCCTAATGCAATTAATTCAGTTCTCCAAAGAATTCACTCTAAATTAACCACTTCTAACTACTCTAATATTTAAATGGGTCAAATCCCATTGAAAATAATATGGTTCTTGCTTCTTCTCCTTCTTGTTTTCAGAAAATAATATGTAACCAGCTTGTGATCCTCATGTCCTCATTATTTTACAAAGCATGACCCTTGGTGAGTCTGAAGGGTGGCTGACGAGTTGTCTATCCAGAGGAGAAATATTTAATTTAGCAACTATATAGCCATATAGTTTATATATATGTGGGTTGGTCCTCATATAATTTAAAAAGTTTTAAACCCATCCCTACACTTTGCATTTGATATATACGGGTTGGTCACTAGGTTGATGATATATAGCGGATGAAGTGGCCAATGATTGCTGATACAGTGATACATGTGCTTCCATGTTCTGCTCTCTCCCCTGTTCTTGCTTCAGGCGGCAGATGATGAGGATGCCCCCAACAATGGCTTCAAGCGACTCAATATCTATGTGGCATATACGCAGGGCCCACGTCATTCACTACGCCCTCTTGCATGCCATGTCATCATCACCACCAAGTCCGGTATATTTTCATGATCCGGAGATGCAAGTCTGTAAGTTGGTTTTTTATTCTTCTAAAAGTAATTCCAGAAGATTAAGAATTAAGGTGGTGTTTGATTTTTCTGGAAGTATTTTTTCATACAAATTGACATAAAACTTGTCTTACGTGCTTATTTTATATATTATAAAATTATTTTTTAAATTGTAATTTGATTTTTACTTAAACATCACATGTTTGGGTGAGAAGAATCAGAATACGATGAAAAAACTGACACCCCCTTGAATACGTTGGACACGTGGACTGGAGAATAGGAAGATGATGGCGTCATCTGTTTGAAGAGTGAAAATCAGATGGTTCGATGGAGTACATGGCAGCCACTTGAGTGGGCTACATCATTGTTATCATAGGCCTGCCATGCACTGCATCCTTCCCCTTGGCATCCTTATCCACGCCGTGGACCCGCACTATTTCTTTTTATTTTTTTCTCCTTCTTGACGACTTGATGGAGTACAACTGTAGTCTGTAGAAGGAGGAGCCTCACTTCCGAGAATATTTTAAGGAAAAATTGTAAATAAAGACTTTTTAATATGTAAAATTATGATTTGGAACTCTAAATTTAAAAATTAATAAATAAGGATCCGGTCCCATTTTTGTAAATATGAAATTGTGATGAAATGTTTGAAATGTCACTTGACCAAATGACAATTTAATTATGGGAAATGACAAGTTCACTTTTACGAATGATAACTTCAGCTGACTAAATCACAACTTAGCTGAGGGTATACCAAATAACTAGTTGATAATAGAAAATGATAAGTTCACTTTAACAAATAACAATTTCAGTAGATCAAATTACAATTTGGTTTAAAGGCATTTTAGATATTTTACCCATATTTTATATTTGCCAAAATAAAACCCGGTTCTTATTTGATATTTTTCAAATTTAGAATCCAAATCACAATTTTATACATTGAAAGGTCTTTATTTGTAATTTTCTCATACTTCAATTTACCTCCCTTATAAATAAAAAAACAACAGCATAATTATCATTTATCAATTATTAGTTAAATTACGGGTATATCATATTACTCCTCCGGTCCTTAATTATCATTTACTCCCTCCGTTCCTTATTATAAGAGACATTTGATGCTTATGTCATGTTCCTATATATAAGAGACACTTAAAAGTTGTCTCTACTTTTTTGTGTTGATTTCCTATTTTACCCATATTTATTGTCTCCAACTCACACTCTCTCTCCCTCTCACTTCTCTTTCTTTCAATAATTTAATTATTCTCTCTCATGCTCTCTCTCCTTATTAATGAGGGCATTTTTGGAAAAAAAAATTATATTGATTGTTCTTAACTAATTTTAACTGCTTTTTTGATCAACGTAATTCGGTTATTCGTCTCTTATAATAAGGAACGGAGGGAGTATCAATTAGGGAGTATAATGCACGTTGCCTTCTGCTCCAAGGGGGATGACGTTAGCTCGCTAACGTAAGCACCATGACTTCACTAGGCCGTCCTCAGCACAAACCCAAGTGGCAAAGCCTCATTCGTTGGTGCCCAAAACGTAAAGCTGAGGCGCGTGTGGGAGTGTTGGCTTCTTAAATATGTGGAACTTTCTTAGTGAGGTTCCTTCACCCCGACGGGGAAGTTAGAAAAGAATCCTCACATAAAAACACGCCTTCTCTCCGTCTGCCCCTGCCTGGCCCTCCCTCCCCCTCACTCATACGCACAGACACACACAGAAACAAAGAAATGGAGAATCTTCCTTCTGATCGTAAGAAGGCAATCCAGGAACTGGAGAGGGGCCGTGAGTTGGCCACCCGGCTTCGCCAGCTCGTTCTCACCTCCGGCGGCGAAGGAGATGCCGATCGAACGACGCCGTTTGCCCGAGATCTTGTGGATAAGGTGGTGACCTCCTTTTCCAACACCCTTTTGCTCTTGAATCTCTCCTCTCTCGATTCCCAGATGCAACAATATTCTTCTTGTTTGCTTCCTGCTAAATCTGACGACTCTGAAGATAGTTGCAAGAGCACTTCCGCCGTCAAGGAACGAAGAGGCTCTTATAAGAGAAGGTATGTGCTGCATCGGATTTTCTCATCTCAGTTATTGATCTTCCTCTGGTTGCAGATTAGGGACGATTAATGGCACAAGTGCTGTTGGTTTCGTTCAGTTTTTGAAATGAATCGACTAGCTTGCTCACGATTCCCGTTTTTGGCTTCCAGGAGAACATCACAGACATCGGAGATAGACTCCGAAGCTCCGATTGATGATGGCTATGCGTGGAGAAAGTATGGTCAAAAGAATATAATGAATGCCGCATACCCAAGGTAAATAGTTTCATTTACCAAGCTATGATTCCCAACATGTTCCAACTCCGCAGGACTTAGTTTGTCGATTCTATTTTTCATGATCATGTATCCGTTCTGTTTTTGAAGGAAACGGTGATTCTCGATCCTGAAAGAAAGATTGAAGATTCTCTTTTCTCTAATCATTAATATTAATTTTGAAATGTTCATCTATGATTTGACTTGATGGGTGATTGGTGGACATATTTCCAACGTCATACATATAATTTCTGGTACAATTGTCACGCACGCTTCCAATTTCGAACATCATATTGTTGGTGTTATATGTCAGATCACAAATCCTGTTCTTAAAGAGAACCAACCTTGTCATAGATTTCAGACTTCTGAACCAAACTTGAACCACGTTGATGCAGGAACTACTTCAGGTGCAGTCACAGGTTTGACCAGGGATGCCAAGCAACCAAACAGGTGCAGAGAATTCAAGAGAAGCCTGAGCTGCACAGGACAACCTACTATGGCCAGCACACCTGCAACAGAAACTCGTTGGAGAACGAGATCATTTTGGACGCTAATTCTCCTTCTCACCCTTCCATATTAATCAGTTTTGACAATAACCTCCCCACGGAACAACCCTTCTTCTCCTCATCACCTCTTCCCATGACCAAAACAGAGTGTAAGGAAGAGATTCCCTCATCTTCGTCGGAGGAGTACCTGGTCTCCCCTGAATCAGACCATAAGGATCCCGTTTCTGATATGTTGTACAGTGATCTTGTCTTTGAGCCCTTCGATTTTTGATGGCTGAGTTATCTTTTTGGTCTGTAAAGTTGGTTTTAATTCGTGAGGGTAGTTGTATCTGTAAGGATCGAGCCTGAGCTTCTTCAGACAAAGCTCTGAGCTTCGAAATGTAAATTACAATTTGTACTCGCTTTTGGTTTTTGACTTGTTGAGTGCAATAAGAATTGTTCAATCATTTCAGATGTGCTTCAGATTTAAACTTTATCTCGTTTGAGGAAAACACCTTCAGCGCAACAAAGCAGAGCAAACTGCAGAGTAAAATGAGACTGATATAACGTGATGAAGAATCCTCCAAGATTTTCAACTAGTTCTTTATATGGCTGGGAAAAAATTAATAATAAGCAGCTTCATCCTGTTGAGAAAATTTGACCGAACAACGTTTTTGAAAGATGGAATTCTGCACATAATGGATGAAATAGCAGTGGCTGTAGTTGAGGGTGAGGCAGCTATGGACCCCCGGATCACTGGCCGTCTTGTTTCTATTAATAATAAATAACAATAATGCCATGAAGTAATTCCCTCTCCAAAAGACAGGTACTGGGATAGAGAGATGTGAAGAATGCTTGAGGTAGGAAGTGAAGGGAAATGGGAGACGGCCTAATGAAATGATACATGACAGAAAAGGACGGAACAGAAGGGAAAAGCCGAAAAGGACGGCGAAGTGTGAGGTCATAGGACGAAATGGATTCCTGTGAGAGAAGCAGCCAAGCCGAGGTTTGAAGTGGGTGGTGGGCTCATCCGTCTCCCGAAACAAACAAGCATTTGCCTGCCTCCCACCACGCAAGTCCCTTCACAGTTCACACTTCACACAGCCTTCATCCGCATCTGCTTTGAAATTTCTCCTTTCAGACACAACATGCTCATGTCATACTTCTTTATAAAGATAATTTTATGTTAAATTAATGACGTTACTGATAACTAGACATTAATCACTTTTTATAAAATATCAAATTTGTCCTTCATAAAAATCACTTTTTATAATGTAATTTATATTAATAAATAAATCTTATACTCTTCTGCTCTTACTCTTGTTTACAAGATAGAGAAAAAATATTTTTTGTTCTATTTATAGGCTACTAAATAAATTTTTTTGTATAGATATACAATTTTATCCTTTTATTATATTGATTTTGTTTATATGAAGTATAATGTATATTAAATGTGAATAAATTTAGAAAATTATTAAATTTTAAATAGAAGGTAATAAAATTTAATATTTTTTAATTTGTATAACACATGTTAGAAATAATTCATAAGTAATATTAAAAGAGTGTTAATTAACAACCGGAGATGGTAAATGAAAGTTTTTCCGGAAAAGACATCTTTTCGCCGCCTCAAGATCTTAGCCGGACCACATCAAGATTTTGTCCCTCTTGTTAAACTCTTTGATAGATTTAATAAGTATTAAATATTTTTTTTACGTATGCTAATATTTAATGAGGATAGTGAAAGAATAGAAATCCACATACTTAAAATTTAGTGCAGTTAATATGAGTGATATTCAAAATCACTCAAATTTTATGACAAATTTAATATTTAAACTATTTTTATGGGTTTATATGAATTGGTTAATACTACTTCTGGTCTTTAATATAAAACTTTATTTGATTTTTATTTTGATCCTAAATATAAGATCACAATCTATTTTGTCTCTCATATTTACATAATTTTTTCCAGGATAGTTCTTCTAATAATTGTAGTTTTAACCAACACATTTAATTGGTTTATTACACATATTTTAGGAAAGACAACACATATTTATTATAAATAACTAACTTAACTTCTTTTTTTAATCTTCTCAAATTAATGAACTAGTTCTTATAATGAGGACTGGAAGTGGTAGTAAATAGAAACTGAGAAAAAGTATAGACAGGCCTACAATAATTTTTCCAAAATTTTATTATCTGAAAATTTTAAAGTAAGTGGTACTCTAACTTTTGAAGATACTTTCCATTAATTATTCAGGATATATATGTATATATTCTTTAATCATGTCAGAGGCGTTCATGGCCAGAAATTTGGGTACTAATGGAGAATCGATTGAGTGGGGTGGTCTTCTGTTTTACGAACCAATCCTAAATATAAGAATTAATTGATTAGTTTGAAAATATTAAAAAAATAATTAAATTAATTATTTGTAATAAATAAGTGTTGTTTTTTTAAATATTTTTTTACTAATCAAGTATATTAATTAGAACTATTATTGTTAGAAAAACTGTCTTTAAAAAAAATAAATAAATATGAGAGATAAGATAGAATGGAATCTTATGTAGAATCAAAATAAAAATTAAATAAAATTTTATATTAAAAATAAGAAGTATTGTCTACTAAAAGAACAGAGGTGCACATCGGGACGGTCGAACTCCATCATTATCCTGTAACGTGGGTGTTTTGATTCCCGAGACAAAGGATAATGTCATGCTTAAGAGCTTTAATCAAGAGGACAAAAACGTGGCTTTAGAAATAAAAGACAAAGAAAACCTTGTTTTTGTAATGTTTGAGCATCCATTGGGGATTGAGAAAGGAAGGATGATGAAATGCACACGGAGAACTGGCATGAAGTAAGAAAAAGATGGTACAATTTTATTTCTAAGTCATTTTTTTATTTTTTAATTTAATTTATTTAATATATATTTATTTTTAATTAAATTACAATTCAAGTTAATAAATAAAGGGTAAAATAATGTTACTCTGATATTTAATATAAATGTATTGACAATTTTTTTAATTTTATCCTTATTAAATTTTTTTCTCTCCCTCTTTATATTTAAAATCATTCTCATATATTTTTATTCTTTTTCTCTTTCGAATAAGAATTAAATAAGAGTAAACTTAAAAAATAAGTATTAAATACTCCTCCGATCCTTAATGTAAGACCCATTTAACTAATTTGATTAGATTAAGGAAGTTAGGTAAGTTAGTTAATTATAAGAAAAGTGACACATTTTTCCTAAAACACCATAATCATCTCTTTTAATACCTCCTCTCCCTCTTCTATTTGATTATGGTTGAGGGAGTATCTATAGGGATAATTTAGAGAAAATTGATAAATATGATAAATGGGTTTTATATTTAAGACCAAAACCAACTCAAGAATTGGATCCTATATTAAGGACCGGAGGAGTATATTATAAGTGATTTATATTTAGAATCAAAGTAGCACATTGATATTAAAAATTTAATGATACGATTTATAAAAAAAATCATATTTTTGAGTTTATAAATAAAACCGGAGAAATATAATAGAAGACTGTTCCAGTTTCTGTGAATTATTTTCCTGTGATTGTTGGTTGTCAATAATTTGTATATTTGACGAGCTCGAGGTCGGAGGCGCCCAAATATGAAGAGTCTGACAATATCCGTGTTAGGCCGTTAATGTGAAGTTGGACCAATGTGGGCTGAAACTTCGAGGGATTAGGATGCTGGGCCGGCCCACTCCACACCCCCTCCCCTTCAATCTTTTTTCATAGCTTTGCATCTCATCTCCTTTTCCCAAAACTACACGTTTTCCGAATTACCATACAAAAATTAAATGTGGCCATACTTCCCATTATATGAGTATTGTTTAACAAGAGCCTACTTTTATGAAATCAATTGCATCCGCTTCCTCTCTTATGAATCTAATCTAAAAGGCCTCTGAATTACTTTTCCGGTTCTAAATATAAAACTTATTTTGTGATTCAAATTACATCACAAAATGAGTTTTATATTTAGAACTGAAAAAGTATTTGCACTTGTGAAAAATATCACTTGTCTGGTATACTACTTTCGATAACTATATCTTATAATTTGGATAGGAGGAATATATTGATGCATTAATTGGATGCACTTAATTCTTATTCATAATTGAAAAAGAGTTTTTGCTGAAAAGTGATATGTATGAAGGTGAAGGTACAAAAGACTAGATGGATGTGATTTTGCGAATAAGACGAGGGAGGAGATAGGGGTATTGATTTTTTGTGGTTCTAAGAAATTATGTATCCCACGATTTGCATGTGTGGCCACAGCCTTCAAACAAGAGGGACGAAGGCATAGTGTTTCAGAGGCTTTCTACTGACAAACTTTTTTTTTTTTTGGGGGGGGGGGGAGAATACCATCAAACATTTGCTATCAGAGCAAATGATCCGTCCTTAGACACACTCTCTGATTCTCCGCGTCGGAATTAGTTAAAAAGTTAATTTTAATTCAAAACATAAACAGGTTTACTTATTTTATCTATCATATTTATTATTTTTTAAAATTAATTTATTTAACTTGTAAACTGATATATATAATTAATTATCTTATGAAGATTATGTCAACATTTGTTAAAATTAAATAATTTATTTAGTATGAATTGGTTGAGTAACCCTTACGTTGAGAAAAATATATTTGTATACATAGACTACTTTTAATTGTAAATATAAAAATTAGTTTGAAATTCAATTTGTTCATAAATACAAGTTTCTAAGTTATTTTATCTCTTACGTTTGTTTATCTTTTTTAACAAAATAATCCCCATAATAGTTATACACGATAAAATGTTTTTATTCTAATACACATAATTAATAATAATATTTTTTAAAAAATAATATTTATTTATTATAAATGACCAACATAATTTTATTAATACTTATAAGTTAATTATTTAGCTCTAATATATAAATAAATGAATAGAAGAAAATGGGAGTGGATCCACTGTGGTAAATAAAAATACAAAATGGTGGCAGAGGCCCAAAGAGGACAAAGGTGAGAACTACCGTGGAAATCAGACAATAGAAAGTGGGCCCAAAGGGAGTGAAGATGCGCCACGTCTTCGTTCGCTTCCTCCCCACGTGATTCATCTTCATTGATTTGTTTTATTTATGTGGGGCCACTCCCATCGATTGATGGGAATGGGATAATGAAACCGTATTTTATGGGGAGGATGACACGAAACATCCCTTCGAATGTGTGAATCCCAGCTTCATCCCTCAAAATGCCTATTCATTCCTCTGGTAATCTTACTGATCACTTTCTGATCGGTATTGCCTTTGTGTCTGCGGATAAAACATGCAGAGCTCTCCCTGCTTCCCTTGTTTTTCAACTTCAACCTTCACAGCTGCGGTCTGAGATTACTACAAAACTTATGATTTTGAACCTTAAGAAGCGAAGCTTATAATTTAAAACTTGAGATACTAAAAATAAAATAAAAATAAATTTGAGTGATAAAAAATTATATTAACCTACAATATAATCTGATCATATCTAAAAGAAGACCATTGTTTATTTTGAAAAAAAAAAAGAAGCAAATTCCTAACTTTCCCTCAATACATAATCACAATCTAATGGTTGATATTCTTCCATTAAGTATTAATTGAGATATGCTCAACAAATTTACAGAAAGAGGTTTGTTCCTGGAAAAATAAAAGACAAGTGACTTGTTTCTCTGTTATTTATTATTCATAATAGATTAATATTTTTTTTACTTTTTTTTAAATTATTTTTAGTTCTTAAAATTTGATTTGATTTTAATTTTAGTTTTTAAAATTTTAAATTATTGCTTTTGGTTCTCAAAATTCGTTTTCATTTTGCCCGACTAAAATTTTTAAGCTCTAAAACAAAGTTTCAATAACTAAAACATTTTAGGGCCTAAAACTATTATTTTTAAATTTTAAGAATCAAAATTAAAATAATGTTAAATTTCAGAATTGAAAAAAATTCTCCACTTCATCTCATTTCAATAAAATAAAATAAAATACATTGAAGTGGAAATTACCAGCTCTTTGAGATGGACTGTGGATCTGTCAAAATAATTTTTTTTTTTTAAAAAAAAGGGAAGACTAGATTTTCCTGCCGCATGACATGGACACATGGCTGCTGCAGAGAAGGAACTCCCTGATTGAACTGTATCTGCTAATCCTTCGACGATGGCGATGACAGTTTAACGTGTCGAATAAGTTCCCTCGTCCGTTTCTTGAGACCCTTTTAGTTCTTGACACTCTTCTCCGCTGTTGCGTGAGTCCTCAGACCCTGAAATCTCAATCCTCCACGGAGCAGAAAAGCCACTTCCTTTGGTCTCCGTCTTTACATTTCTAATCAAAAGGGTCGCTTGAGCACTTAAATCGTCCAGATATCTAAAGCAGTTTGATTTTTAGTTCCTTTTCTCCATATTGCTTCGCTGGAAAAATAATACCAGGGGTTTAATATCTATTTGATCCCGTGAAAAATACTCGTGAGAGAAGAGTGCCAAAAAAAAAAAAGGCTAGATGAGGGAGAAACTGAGTTTTTTGTTGGGTGTTTGGATTTTTTTGTTTGGTTTTTGTGCTGGTAGGTTTGTGGTGGAGAAGAACAATTTGAAAGTCACTTCTCCGAAATCATTAAGGGGCGTGTATGAGTGTGCGATCGGGAACTTTGGAGTTCCCAAGTATGGAGGAGCCATGATAGGCTCTGTGGTATACCCCAAGACGAATCAGAGGGGATGCAAGAGCTTTGATGATGACACTTTATTTAAGTCAAAGCCCGGAAGCTTTCCAGTCATTCTTCTTGTGGATCGGGGAGGTGAGCTCTTTATTTCATACCTATCCGTCTGTTATCCTAATCCTTCAATTGGGATTTTTCCTATAACGCGTTTTCGTTTGTGATTGTTCAACTGCATGGCTGTTGGTTGGTGATTTTGTACTGAATTTGTGTGTCAAGCTCCATTCTCTCTTTTCCTAGTGATAAATTTGAGATCTGTTCTCCGTTGAATTGCTTCCTATTATGCGGATTGACACAGCAAGTTAGGGTAAGTTGTTCAGTCAGTTGAATTGCTATCTTACAGGGAAGTTGGGATATTTTGGTTTTCTCTTACTGGAAACCGAAATCTTAGTAGCTCTCGACCATATGATGCACCATGTTTGCTGGAGTTTGCTGCAAGTTATTATATCTAAGTTTAATTTTGATGTCTAAGATTCAGAGTTTTTGTTTCCGAGTTCCTGTACAGCTTCGTTTTCCTTCAAGATCAGGTTGCAGAGCTATAATCTCTCTCTCTCTCTCTCTCTCTCTCTCTCTAAAGGGAAAACATAATCCAGAGTTTGGCACCTAGTTTATCATCGTGCTGTTTGTGACTTCCTAAATTGTATTCAATAATAAAAAGTTCCTCTGTTGAATGTTGGCTCTATGATCATACACACACAAGGGCTGATTAATATAATCCAAGAAGAAAAACTCAACAGTGTCGTCTCCCCCACCCCTTTTCCCATTCTTGTAGATTGTTACTTCACGTTGAAGGCCTGGAATGCACAGAATGGTGGAGCAGCAGCTATTCTTGTTGCAGATGACAGACTAGAACCATTGATCACCATGGACACTCCTGAAGAGGGGTCTGTGGCAAATGATGAATATGTGCAGAAGATTAGTATTCCTTCTGCCCTTATCAGCAAATCATTGGGGGATAGCATCAAGAAGGCTTTGTCAAATGGAGAGATGGTTACCATAAATCTTGATTGGAGTGAGACGCTTCCACATCCTGATGAGAGAGTCGAGTATGAGTACTGGACAAACAGCAATGATGAGTGTGGACCAAAGTGTGACAGTCAAATTAATTTTGCCAAGAACTTTAAAGGGGTAGCTCAATTACTTGAACAGAAAGGGTTCACTCAGTTTACCCCTCACTACATAACTTGGTATTGCCCTGAGGCATTTATCTTGAGCAAACAGTGTAAGACTCAGTGCATAAACCATGGGAGATATTGTGCTCCAGATCCCGAGCAAGATTTCAGTAGAGGATATGATGGTAAAGATGTTGTTGTTCAAAACCTACGTCAAGCATGCTTCTTTAAAGTGGCAAATGAAAGCGGAAAACCTTGGAAATGGTGGGACTATGTGACAGACTTTGCAATCCGTTGTCCAATGAAAAAGAATAAGTACACCGAAGAATGCTCTGATCAAGTTATCAAATCTCTTGGTATGTTGGACGCTTACCTTTTGCATGAACTTTACAATAGGCTTACTTTATTTATTTATTTTCTTTGGGGGGGGGGGTAATGTTACCTTTTTGTCTACCTAAAAGATGTTAATATCAGCAGAAAAAACGAATGTTATACTGCTTTTTCTTTCATATATAAATTGTTTTTAGTTGTTGTGTTGTTCATTTGATATCTCTGGGCTTCAATTCTAGTTCAAATGCTCAGGCTAAATGCAAGTGCAGAACAAACTCAAATTTGTATCTGTACTGATGAAAATATCTGTCACTATTCTCAGGTCCAACTTAAGAATCTTGTAGCTTGCTATAGTCCCTCTTCTTGCATGATATCAATTAATGTGCCCTATGTTGTCCATATAATGTTCTGGCTAAATGGTCTATTACTTAATTTACCATTCAAAAAACTGAGATGCCTTAGCTCACTTTCCTTAACCTACTTTGCAGGGGTAGATCTGAAAAAGATTAAAGATTGTGTTGGAGATCCTACTGCGGATGTTGAAAACCCTGTTCTCAAAGCTGAACAGGTTGCGCAGGTTGGTAATTTTTTAAATGCAAACTTTTCTGTGGTTCTCTTGTTGGCTTATTCTCATAACTAGGCCATTCTATTTCTTCTGTTAATCCTTGCATTTTCTCCCACCTCTGTTTTCAGATTGGCAAAGGTTCTCGGGGTGATGTTACTATATTGCCTACTCTTGTTATAAACAACAGGCAGTATAGAGGTATGAACCAGCTCTCCACACACATGCGCGCGCGCATTTACGACTATTTGGCTACATTTAATTATATGTTTTTTGGCCGTTAACTCCTTTTAGGTAAGTTGGAAAAAGGAGCAGTTCTCAAGGCAATCTGTGCAGGTTTCCAGGAGACCACAGAGCCAGCTATTTGCTTAACTTCAGGTCCTCTTCATTTAATTTAGTTTTCAACTTTTCTCCCCATGCCTAGCCTACCTCTAAAACATACTAAGAGATGAAACAGTAAATCATTTTGTCTCTGCAGTTGTAGTTGTTTAACTTTTAATGTGTGATTGCTTAAAAAATCTTAATTATTGGTTTCCATTAACAAGCAGTCCTTGGTTTAGATTGTAATGAATGGTATTGTGTATTCTTTGATTCTACTTAGCATTGGGAACTTTTTATATTTGCCTCTCTGAGCAATTTATACTAATAGGGAACTTTGGGGAAAACCCTATCAAACTTCTTCCTTGATCTTATTCAGGAGAAAGATAGAAAATCCCAATAGAAAAACCCAAAGAAATGAAGAAAGAACGAGGAATTAATCAATATGTTTTTAGAATGTAAAGTAGAAAGGTAAAGCGGAAGGATTATATGGGTTTGCAATTTTAAGATCTTGTGAACAATAAGTGTCTAAATTTCATAAAATGCATGCTATTTTATAAAATAAGCAATGTGATATTGTCAGTGGAAATTTTGTATATGAAATGACTGACTAAAATTGAAATTTGTCTTACTGAGTGGCTAGTGATTTTGTTGACCATTGTTTGCAGATATGGAAACAAACGAGTGTCTGGAAAACAATGGTGGTTGCTGGCAGGACAAATCTACTAATATCACTGCATGCAGGGTATTTGGCTAACCAGACAATCTCAGGATCATTTTCCAGAAAGAGATTCTATTACTTTTTATTTTGTAGTGGGTTTGAGTCTTTTAAATTTAACCATCTTCCTTTTTTTTTTAACAGGATACTTTCCGAGGAAGAGTGTGTGAATGCCCTATTGTTCAAAATGTCAAGTTTATTGGTGATGGATATACGCACTGTGAAGGTAAATTGCTTTAAGTTTGAATTTAGATGGCTTGCTTTATTCCCCATGTGAAATATGAAGTGAAAAAAAGAGACAGTTGTAGGTTCTGAATTTTTCCTAGTAATAATTATGTGCTGAATATCGAAGTGATAATTAGATCTTAATTGAATATTGGTAATATTGTGATTACTATGGACGATGCAATGTGATGGTTCAAATTAAGCCTTCACTATGCCAAGAATACAACGGAGGCTGAAGGTTAAAGCTCCATTTATAATTTCCCACCTACTTTCTTTGTGTCTATTTTACGGACCAATTGAATTCTTTAACAGCCTCTGGAACCTTGCGCTGTGAACTCAACAATGGAGGTTGTTGGAAGGAAACCCGAGGTGGTAGGATGAACTCTGCTTGTGTCGTAAGTATTTCTATGCTTCTTGGATCTTCTGCATGCTCTTGCTTCTGATTTTTTCTTCTGAGAGAAAGAATGATGTTAGATATTAATTGTCCCCTATCCCCTGTTTTCTTGTTTATTGCTTGACTACGCAGGATGAACATACCAATGGTTGCAAATGTCCGCCTGGATTCAAGGGTGACGGAGTCCACTCTTGTGAAGGTATTACTGTTGTAAATTCGGCTTAATTGTTCAGTATCCTGGCAGACACATAAGCGTGAATTATCTTGCTTGGTGGATTATTGCAGAATGCTTGAATGTGCATCCTGGTGTAGTACATGTAATTTATATGCTATTAACTAATCTCTGATGTAAACTGTCTGTTTCTTGTACTGACTATTTTCTAGATGTGGATGAGTGTAAAGAGAAGTTGGCCTGCCAGTGCCCAGAGTGCAAATGCAAGAATACCTGGGGGGGTTATGAATGCAGCTGCAGTGGCAACTTGGTCCACATGCAAGAAAGTGACACGTGTATTGGTAAGCCTTTTTTGAGTTCAATAATCTTAATCTTGCTGGCTAAATGGTTTAGCTTTCATTACAATCATCCAATAGACAACCACTATGGAAAGTGCAACTTTCCGTGGTGAATTGATAACACCCTGATGTATTCATTCCGTACGATCAGTGTCAAGTTTTCCTTGGGAAAGAAGCTTACCAGGTCTTAGCCTAAATTTTAAACTGGTGTATGATAAGACTCTAGTAGTCTAGTTTATTGTAAACTTTCCGTGGTGAATTGATAACACCCTGATGTATTCATTCTGTACGATCAGTGTCAAGTTTTCCTTGGGAAAGAAGCTTACCAGGTCTTAGCCTAAATTTTAAACTGGTGTATGATAAGACTCTAGTAGTCTAGTTTATTTTTAACCACCCCCCCCCCCCAAAAAAAAAAAAAAAAACTCATGGGCTGGTGTCTTGGCTGTGTTACAGGTACCACATGCATAGCTACAAAGATATTTATTTGGATAATCTATGCACATATGATATACTTTATCATTTTCAGTGTTTCTAACGTTTTATCTGACAATGTGACGATTTCTTCTTTCTTTTTGGCATTATAAAAAGCAGCTAAATATAGCTCCTCAGTGACCACCGGGGGTTTTATTTGGATGATGATTTTCATCTTGGCTGCTGTTAGTGCTGGGGGATATGCGTTTTACAAGTACAGAGTCCAGGTATGATCCAGACTTGATTGTTTTGGCTTTAAGAGCAGGCTTTTATTCTGAAAGCACAAAGTGCATTCAGATGTTGGCTATCATGTTTATTATAAACATGGCATGGAAATACTTTTAGTAACTCGACACCACATGATTGCTTCTATCAGAAAAGATTATCTAGAATCTAGATGTTATTAATTTTTAGTTCAGGAACTTAACAGTGAATAAATGGGTAAATTTACGTAAGCTTTAACCTTAAGTTGATAAATCCACAAGACAATCGTAGAATGCTAGACGACAGATATTTTGTCATAGGAGAATGAGTTCTTTTGCGAGGGAGAGGCAGCTGAGACTCAGACTGTTGATAATTTCAGCACAAGTTTTCCTTTTTGTTGTAATGTTTTCCTTCTTTTTGAAGGCTCGTATGAATATATTATATATCTTCTTTGGGTATTGATATGTGAAATAAAATTTTGTGCAGAGCTACATGGATTCTGAGATAAGGGCAATTATGGCCCAATACATGCCCTTGGATAACGAAGCAGAGGTCCCTAATAATCAACTTCATCATGACATCTAGATGATGGGAGCCGGATATCAAGTACGAATTCTGGGAAATCCTCTCAGGGTGTTTAGTTTAATACCAGTAGGTGATCAGGCTAGATAACCTGAGACTCCTTGCACAAAAATGATTTGAGTTATTACTTCTGTTATTAGCTTTGTAAATTTTAATCCGTCTTGTCCTGACAGTCTACGTTCTGAGTTAGCGAAAGTCATGCCATTTCTCTGCTTTCCTGGGCTCGTGAATTTTTGCAGAAGCTCCAAGCATAAAATAAAAATTTTAAAATAAAAAAAAAGCTTACTCAAGCCGTTGCCATTTTTGATCAGGTACACCGTACACCTAATTTGTTTATCAAAATTAACTTGTTTCAGCTACAAAAAGCTAACATCAGTGTCTAAAACATTCACCTAAGAATTAAATCACTGATTTACAGGGATTTAACGGTGCTCACATCACAAGGAGTGAGTCCATATCCATTTGGCTCATGTTTCAAAGGAAAAACGAAAATGGAGTGTGGCGATTAGGCAAAGTTTGATAAAGTCAAATGAAAGAAGGGATTACAACCATTGACAAACAGACATGGTGGGAACGATGCGATTTCAAATTCAAATGAGGAAACAGACCTAAAACTAGGAATTTTGGTCAGGATTTGGTGTATTTACAACTATAGTACGAGTTTTGTACTTTCTGCGGAGGTAGCAATACAAGCATTAGATAATTCTTTCCCCGGTAGGCGTTAACAACAAAATTTGAATAAAATTATTCAGGGTTTTGTGCTCAGAGGCTCTCATTAGAAGCATAGTATGTAAAAATTTATAATCCAATCAGTAATGCAAAGCCAATGAATGAAAACAATCGATTTTTTAAATTTTTATTTAAATAACGTGATAATGAATTAATATGAAATACCTAAATTCTGTAATTCAACTTAGCTTCAACAAATATACTTGAAGGATTCCCATTTACTCGTGTGCCTATAGATTAGAGATAAGTAACTCTGGAAAAACTCATCGAGTTGGTCAGATGGTTTTGTAGAAAAAGTAGGCTTATTCCTAACGCTTTTGTGAAAATGCATGGCATCCTCAGAGGATTGAAACTTTGCCGGGAATTGGGACACATAAAAATGGTGTTGTTTACACTATTCTAGGGAAAGCTCTGAACTAAATCAAGTGGCATTGTAACAATCTCTACCTCAATGCAAATATGATGAATGAAATAAGCCATTGGCTAATGCAGAACTTGGCAATTACAGTTTCAAAGAGGAAATATTATGCATCTGTTGACTTACCAAGGAAATTCTCTGCATGGAAGCGACTTGTGCGGTCCTTAGGAGATCCTTACGTGAGAAATCTGTGTCAGCGTCTTTTTATTCATGATCCTCTCTCAATCAATTGAAGATAAAGTCATCTTTTTTATGCTTCCACCCGTGTCACGTTGCATTAATAAAAGTTAAAGTATCAATTGATCCACATTTTCATTTTAGCAGCATCAGAATTTGTAGTACAGGCTAAAGGAAATCAATGTAATTTGCCAATAAAATTGGGTTTGTTTGGAATGACGATTGGAGCATTAAAAAATAATTTTTCAATCATAATTTATGAAATATAAGATAAATATAGGGAAAATGACAATAAAATACCACTTGAATTCTAAAAAGACAAATAAGGGACCTGAATAAGTAAAATAACAAATAGGGCATTGGGTACCAATCTGGAATTTTGATTTTTGATGTCAAAACATGTTGCAAAACCCATTGACAAAGTAGTAACTCTCACTATGAAAGTTGTAAATTCCACTATGTGTTTTGTAAAATTCAGCGTGGAATTGTATTGTTTTTTACAGAGAAGTTGCCTAACCCTCAAAACAGGTTGCAAAAGCCATTGACCAAGTAGTAATTCTCATTATGAAAGTTATAAATCCCACTATGTGTTTGTAAAATTAGGCAAAACTTGTTCGGCCCTTCAAAACAGGTTGTAAAACCCATTGACGAAGTAGTAACTCTCATTATGAAAGTTATAAATCCCACTATGTGTTTTGTAAATTCAAAATCAAAATCTCATATTGGTACCTGATGCCTTCTTTGTCATTTTACTTATTCAGGTCCCTTATTTGTCTTTTTGAAATTCAAGTGGTATTTTATTGTCATTTTCCCATAAATATATATATATAAAAAATTCTATCTTGATTTATGTGAAAGTACTTACGAGTATTTATCAAAAGTGGCTCTAAACAAGCCCTAACTAGATTATGCTTGTAATTCTGATCCTCCACTCCTTAATATAAGATTTAGCTTGCAATTCAAAAAGTGGATCTTATATTAAATTGAATTACAAAACTAGATTTCATATTAAGCATCGAAGGTAGTATTTGGTGTTATTAAAAAAGAATTTATGGTTTACTGAATGGTTTAGATTTTATTATAAGAATGAACTTTGATGAGTTTTAACGAGCATTAAATGAGAACCTCTGTCTTGACCCTTATTTAGTAGTATAGCCCCTCTTGTTCACAATATAAATCATTTATAGAAGAATAATTTGGCCAAAAATATAAGTAACTTTGAGAGTATTTAAAATTTATTTGTCACTTTTGTCCCTGTCATTAAAACAATTTGAGACAGATTTAAGGAGTTAACTATTATTTTTTATTCTAATAAATTAGTTAAAGTGATTCATATAATGAATCGGAAGAAGCATATAGTAGTATTAAAAAAATAATTTATAAACAAATTATGAGTATAGTTATAATTCGTACCATTCGAGAATAAATTTAATGAATTGGTTTTTATTAAGGGGAAAAAAACTCTATTAGCCTTATAAATAGGTTTAAGGAAGCAATAAAGATCTAAGGAAGTAATAAAAATAATTAATTATAACGTTAGAAATATGAAATCTTAAAAAATTAACTGGGGTATTATGTATGTAATACTTTTTTCCTTCATTATTATTTAATCTGACCTCTCGTGCTTTTCAGACCAACCGGCGCACAATCTCTCTCCCGCTTTAATGGCTTCTCCACCTCCGAGGCATCTTCCAAATTCTTATTATTCTCTTCACACTCCGACTCATCATAATACATATGTCTCCAATCGCCTCGTCTCTTCCTCCCTCCATTTCGTTCTTCCCTTCATAATTTCAACCATCCCTGTTATGTTTCTCATTCATAATTTGATCCTCTGTTTCTGTGTTACTTCTTCAAGCTCATTCCTTTGTTCTTTCCCATAATTCTTTCATATAACCCATAGCTACCTCCTTTTATTGTCATAGAAGCTAGATACTATAAGTTTCTGCCTCGTGTGGTTCTTGGTGCCTACCACCTATATGATGCAGTTCATGTTGTTTCTTCTCTTTCTTTTTGCTCCAATCAGAGCACTTTCCGACGACCCACCCTTCAACGACGACGTGTTGGGTTTGATTGTCTTTAAAGCGGGTTTGCAAGACCCGAAGGCTAAGCTCTCTACTTGGAACGAAGATGACAATAATCCCTGCAAGTGGGCTGGAGTAAAATGTGATCCTACAACCAATCGGGTCTCCGCAATTGTCCTTGACGGCTTTTCTCTTGCTGGGCACATTGATCGAGGGCTCCTGAGATTACGGTCCCTCCAAATTCTCTCACTTTCCAACAACAACTTCTCTGGGTCCATAAACCCAGATCTTCTTCGCCTTGGGAGTTTGCAAGTGCTGGACTTCAGTGGGAACAACCTCTCTGGCTCTATACCAGAAGGGTTCTTCCAACAATGTGGGTCCTTAAGATCAGTTTCATTTGCCAAAAACAGTCTTACTGGTAAGATTCCTGATTCCTTGAGTTCTTGCTCCTTGTTAGTAACTGTTAACTTCTCTTCCAATCAGCTAAATGGGAATTTACCTTCTGAGATATGGTTTTTGAGACAACTACAGTCACTTGATCTGTCCAATAATTTGCTGGAGGGAGAGATTCCTGAGGGAATTGAGAATTTGTATGATTTGAAGGAGTTAAATCTGCAGAGAAATCGCTTCATTGGGAGGCTTCCTGGTGATATTGGAGGATGCATGCTTTTAAAGTCACTTGATTTCAGTGATAACTTTCTGTCTGGGACAATTCCTAAATCAATACAGGGACTCAACTCCTGCACATCCCTCACTTTACACGGGAATTCATTCACAGGAGCGGTTCCTGATTGGATTGGAGAATTGAAAAATCTGGAGGTGTTGGATCTTTCAGCAAATAGATTTTCTGGTCGGCTTCCAAAATCAGTAGGCAATCTCAGGTCACTGAATAAATTAAATCTATCCAAGAATCATTTTACGGGAAATTTGCCGGAATCAATGGTAAACTGTGTTAAGCTTTTGGCTCTAGACGTCAGCCAAAATCAGTTACAAGGGCGTCTTCCCTCATGGATTTTCAGGATGGGCGCACAAAATGTTTCACTCCCAGGAAACAGCTTCAATAGCAGCAATAATCCTTTATTTACCTCCACACCTGAATCCTACCATGGTCTTCAGGTTTTGGATTTGTCATCAAATGGGTTCTCTGGCGAACTTCCATCTAATATCGGGGGCCTTAGTAGCTTGCAAGTATTAAATATATCCGCCAACAGTATCTCTGGTCCTATTCCAGTGGGTATAGGAGAACTTAAATCATTATACATTCTTGACTTGACTGACAACAAACTCAATGGAAGCATTCCTCCTGAACTAGAAGGGGCTTTTTCACTCAGTGAACTGCGGTTACGAAACAACTTCCTAAGTGGGGAAATTCCAGCCCAAATTGAAAAGTGCTCTTTGCTAACAACTTTGTAAGCTCTCTATCATAACTTGATATGTGAATGATTGATATTTTTAATTGAAAATTGCGTGTTCTTTTTTATTGATGAACTTTCTGTTGCATTTCAAATGAATGGTACAGGATTCTTTCTCACAACAAACTTACAAGTTCAATCCCAGCAGCCATTGCCAACCTAAATAATCTTCAGTATGTGGACTTGTCATGGAATGAACTCTCTGGAAGCTTACCCAAAAATCTATCAAATCTTTCCCACCTTTTATTTTTTAATGTCTCCTACAATCACCTTCAAGGGGAGCTACCAGTCGGCGGCTTCTTCAATATCATCTCTCCCTCATCTGTCACTGGTAATCCATCCTTATGTGGTTCTGTTGTCAATCATTCCTGCCCTTCAGTCCATCCCAAGCCTATTGTCCTAAACACGAATTCTTCATACTCCAACTCCAACTCCTCTCAAAACCATGGTCATAGAAAGATTATACTAAGTATTTCTTCTCTTGTTGCCATTGGTGCTGCCGCTTTTATCACTATTGGTGTGGTGGCCATTACTGTCCTAAATGCCCATGTTCGTCGTTCAATGTCTCATTCTGCTACCCCATTTGCTTTCTCGGGTGCTGAGGAGTATAGTGGTTCTCCTGCAAATGATCCTAACTATGGCAAGCTTGTTATGTTTTCTGGTGATGCTGGTTTTGATGATGGGGCAAATAATCTCCTAAACAAAGATAGTATAATAGGTCGTGGTGGATTTGGAATTGTTTATCACACTGTCCTTCTAGATGGGAATTCTGTTGCAATCAAGAAGCTTACAGTCTCTGGATTGATCAAGTCACAAGAAGACTTTGAGAGGGAAGTGAAAAATCTTGCGACAATCAAACACCAGAATCTTGTGGGACTTAAAGGGTATTACTGGACTTCATCCTTGCAGCTCCTTATTTATGAGTATCTGTCCAGAGGGAGTCTGCATAAGCTTCTACATGAAGAAGATGAGCATAGCAGCAACATGCTTTCATGGCGACAAAGGTTCAAGATTGTTCTTGGAATGGCAAAAGGGTTGGCCCATTTGCATCAAATGAATATAATTCACTACAATCTAAAATCAACAAATGTTTTGATTGATTGCTCTGGTGAGCCAAAAATAGGAGATTTTGGCCTGGTGAGGCTGCTGCCAGTGCTAGACCATTGTCTTTTGAGCAGCAAAATTCAAAGTGCACTTGGTTACATGGCCCCTGAGTTTGCATGTCGGACAGTGAAGTTAACTGAGAAATGTGATGTGTATGGTTTTGGGATCCTGGTTCTTGAGGTGGTGACTGGGAAAAGACCAGTAGAATACATGGAGGATGATGTGGTAGTTCTGTGTGATATGGTAAGGGGAGCATTGGAGGAAGGCAGGGTGGAGCAATGCGTGGACAGGAGGCTTCTGGGTAATTTTGCCGCAGAGGAAGCAATTCCCGTCATAAAATTGGGATTAATTTGTGCATCACAAGTGCCTTCAAACCGCCCAGATATGGCCGAGGCAGTTAGTATATTAGAGTTGATCCAATGCCCTTCAGAAGGACAAGAGGAATTAGAATGAGTTTATAGTTGTAGTATTGAGAAACATTATATACTGCAATAACTGGTGAAGAACAATCCAGTTTTCTTACCCTAAAAAGCTCAACAAGCAAGAATGTTTGTCATTTTCTTTCCTGAACTGTAGGTCTGGTTATTTTCCCTGTTTTGTTTGTTCAGCTACGTTGTATTACTGGATTATTCTTCACCAGCTTTATGTCGTCTTCATCACACTCCTTTCCCGAGTACTGATTGCGGTTGCTGAACTCGAGAGTTTGTTGCATTTGATAGTTTTCTTTTGAGAAACTATTGTTAATTGTATATTCCTCTGTATGTCAAGTCATAGGAATTCTCAAATGCGTGTCATGTACCCCACCACTTGAAATACTAACTTTCATAATTTTTCTTTGAATCATTGCTCAGTATGCATATCAGGATTCAAGTTTCCGTCTCACATGGTGTTATGAGATGAGGCATCGAAAGTGGGAGACACGAGAGGAGGGGGGGAAAGAAAGAATAGTAGACAAAGGAAATGGAGCCTTTACTTTTGCTTTCCAGGAAAGCGAACGAGAGACTCACAGCATTAAACCAAAATAAAAGGTGGGGCGTAGAAGTAAGTGGACGAAATGAAAGCACATGAGAATGAGATAACCAGCAAAGAAATCAACACAAAATATAAAATTCATATTAAATCTCGATATTCGTGTACTATAATTCATTTTAAATACTAAAAGAGCAAAGAAAAGTGTACTCTTGCTTTTGCTAACGCTTAGAAATGCAGTGATAGCTAAGATAATTAATGCTTGGATTAGAAGTAAAAAAAATGGAATGATTTGGGTAGAGTAATTAATAAAAGGGAGCAAGGGAGCATGAGATCCGATTTGAGAGACATCATCATTCTTAAAAGCACCGCCAACTAACAAGCTTTTACAAATGCCAACATTTGCCAGTCCAAAAAAAAACAAAGCCAACATTTGGCGCCCTGCATTCCAATACAATCAATCATGACTAGTTCCGCATGCCTTCCAGCCAACTTTTCATTTTGCCAGAGGCCAATTAGATTTAGAAGAAAAAAAAGCAAATAAAAACCCTCAATGTGTGAAATTACGATTTGAGACCCTCAATTTGAAAAATGACAAATAAAGACCTGGCATCATATTGTAATGATGAAATCTTAGTAAAATATCTGAAATAGTCACAAGCCAAGTTGTGATTTGCTCTACTGAAATTTTTATTCACTAAAATGAACTTGTCATTTCTCATAGTCAATATGTCATTTGGCATACTCTTAGTTAAGTTGTGATTTGGTCTACTGAATGTGTCATTCGCTAAAGTGAATTTGTCATTTCTCATAGTCAACTTGTCACTTAACTAAGGGGCATTTCAGACATTTCACTAGGATTTCATATTTGTAATATAGAATTGGGTCTTTATTTGCTATTTTTTTAAATTGAGAGTCTCAGATCGTAATTTTATATATTAGGGATCTTTATTTGTTATTTTTTTTCTTAAGTTTATTATAAAGAAATTTCCAAGTCAGTGGCCTATTCATCTACAATAACGGTGACAAAAAAGTAAAACATGCTTAGATTAGATGACACAAAAGGACGTCCAAACCGATGAGATACACACACACACATATAGGGACATGGTACTTGTTTTTTTTTTTGGCCAAAAGGGACATGGTACTTGTTGATTCGGCTTTAAATAGTAGTAGAAGGGGTGAGGTGGGAGATCAATGAACTTTGCTAAACGTACTAGTAAGAAAAGAATAGAGGAGGGTGAAGTTAATAGAATAAGGTGGAGACAAAATGATTGAAGGCATATTATTTATGGAGCCTTGCACGGCATTGCAGCATCAACAAGACAACAACCTCACACTTCGGCCTTTTCGCTTAATTAGTAATTACTGTCTGCGCACGCCTACGGTAACCAAATAATTATGAGGCTAACACCCACTTCCCTACATATCCATCTCATTTAAATATTACCGAAATTTACTATTATTACAGATTCCAAATTCCAATTTCAACTATTGCAGTGTACCATTGAATTGACGCCCAATCCTCTCACCCAAGCACCTCAAATTGTAATTTTCAAGTTTACGCCTTGGCCTTGCTTCTAACCATCTAATCATGCTCGCCTGCCTCGCTTCAGGTTCAAGGCATAAATAAAGCAGCTCACCTGAACATTCTTTTAAAAAAATGCCTATATTTTATTTTTATAGCTCTTCTTAAAATTTCTAACGAGTACTTCACAAATTTCAATAAAAAGTTGGGAAAATCACTACGTAGTTCGAATAAAAGCATAGTCTTGTAACAAGGTTTACGGTAGAAAATGACAATAAAATTCATGTTGTTTACTTGTTCTTTATATATATATTTATATTCCTTCGGCCCTTCAACGTAAAGGGGCTTTAGACTAAATTATCTTCAATCTGCCTCTGAAGAAAACAAAATGCTAGAGCCTGCTACCCATCCCGTCCAGTTACATGGAAGAGAAAGAAAAGGGGGGGGGGGTTGTTCAGAGATTGAGATTCTCGAGCTGAGTAGAGAGTCACTCTCCGTTATTGAGTCCCAAGTGCTTGCACACAAGGTTTTTACATGCTAAATAATACTCCTCCTATCCTAAATATAAAACTTATTTTTTAATATAATTTAGTGAGTGTTATATTTAGAACTAGAACTAAAAGAGTATAAAACATAACTAAATGCGCACAAATTGCAATCTATACATCTACTGTCATATGATGTTTCTTCTTATGTATGTTAGCAATACTTTGAAATTACGGGTGTTCACGGGACGGTATTGGGACAAACCCGTCCTAGTGAACAGGGATGGGATGGCTTTTCCATCTCATGTCCAGTCCCGTCCTGAAGGCGTCCCGTCCCAAACGGGACGGGACGGGACAAGACAGGACAGTACCAGGACATCCCGTCCAGTTTTCTTAAAAAAAAAATTAAAAGAGTTACTTGGGCTAAATTAAAAAGAGATTTTGCACCAAATAGAAAGAAAGAAAGCCCCATGAAATTTTTGCTCAAGATGAAATTATTAAGAAATAATAGTAGATATGTGAAACTTAAGGAGGGGGACATATTCTTCAACTCTGGATTTTTGAAGTCATAAGCAACTCTCCATGTATTTGAATAGAAATTGGGGGAAAAAAAACACAACAATATAGTGATATATACGTCAAAATGGTTTAGGACACAAATCTAAAGAAACCATTTTTTCTATTATATGAACACAATTAGCTAATTAAACACTCAAATGTTCAGGTAAAATGAAGGTGATTAAAAATAAAAAATAAAAACACCCAAAAATATCGTATCCTGAATTATCATAAGAACAAGATGCATGCAAGCCTGAAAAACAACAAGCATGAGTGCTACCAAATCCATTCTATCTACAAAATGTCACCAATTAAATAAAAAAATAAAACAGATAAATTAAGAAACAAGAGTTTTGGAGTAAAATATTATGAGTGTTTAAAAATAAAATAAACTTATTTTTTTTTTAAAAAAAATACTGGGATCACTTCCCATCCCATATCTGAACGATTTTTGTCTTGGTTCTGTCCCGTTCTGTCTCAAAATGGTTGGGATGGGACAAAACACTTTGAACACCGCTATTTTGGATTGACGTTTAATCTGCATATCACCAAATTCGTATATATACTGTCATTAATTATTAATCGAGTTTTGGATGAAGGTCCAAGAAAAGAGTTCACTGAATTATGACATGATCATAGCAACAACGCACTATCTGAATGTATTAAGGCTGAAATCGGCACACGCAGCTTCTATCTCGGCTCGTTTTGGCGGAACAACACGTGGGAGAGTCATCCAACAGGGGCACGACACGAGGAATCCAAATTAAACCCAAAACTTTAAGAAGCGACAACACGACTTAACACGAATATACATGTTACCTACCTCCTGTAGTTCATTTACACAGTCCTTTTTCCTCAGGTCGAGGCATTACCTAAACGTTCAATTAAACTCGAACTAAACCACCAAAAGAAAAAAAATCAAATGTGTGAAAACTATAATATTTCTTTTTCCTTCTTCTCTATATTTATTGTGACGCCTAGCAAGTAATGCCCCACCACAACAAAATTCGTCACGTCCCTCCAGAGTTGGGATCGCACTTGATTTCTGCACCCCCATCTGTTAAGTCAACTTCTATAACCTTGCTTCATTTGACTGTAAATTACTAATCATCCCAATCGTTCTCCCATCCATCTCTGTTAGACGATCTAGCAGTAAGGCCGTTTGCTGAGATGCTTCCTGCATGAGGTCTCCCAGGTGATTTCACAGCAACATCTTCATCCCAATTATCATCCCAATCCTGATCCCAACCTTCGCCTATCTCCACATTAGTAGCTGAAACGGACTCAGGCAATGCCATTTCAAGCTCTTGATATGGTACCCCATCATGCCGCTTCTTCCTAAACTTGCAGCAAGCCCACGTCCCGCCAAATATTAAAACTGCTACGATGAGGAAGTACGCGCCATTTACTGGTGTTAAAACTTTCTCATAAGAAGGAAGACGGAAGAAAATCCCCTCTTCAGGGACAGGAGTACCCAAGTGAAGCACACATTCCCCCTTTCCAGCATTTAAAGCCAGTTTAGTTGTTTCACTGCTAGTTACTGAGACATTGATCTGAAACAGAACAGTACAAAAAGCGTAAAGCGGTGGCATATGAAAATGAATCCTACAGACAGTAAAAGTGATTCCTTGGTCATCAATTCCTTCACCAAATCCTTTTGTGGCATCTTCTTGAGATGTTCGATGATAATTTCAAACAGAAGATAACTTTGCTAGTATTGCTGTAACCAACACTATCAGCCTTTCGGTTTCCAATTTAAAGGGAATCCAAAATAATGCCGAGCTTCGTTTTGTAACGCAAGTCTCACAAAATAATCAAGACATGCGAGTTTAGCTTCTATTTGAAGAGTTATAGAGGGGGAATAAGGGAAAAAAAAATACCTTGATAAATAAATTATTACTGCAAATAACATAAATGCATTCAGTGCAGTATAAATAACTGCGATCTACCTTTTTGCTCTGATGCTCTGCTACTTCAATGTCTCCTCCAATATTACCTTCCATAAAAAACTTCACTTTGACGATGCTATCCCCTCCATTTTGAACAATTACAACCACGTATTTGGACTCTGGTCATTTGTATTAATAACATAAAGGCAT